GTATTTAAGCGTTTTGTATTTTATGATAATCGTTACTTCTAATATTTCCAAGCATTGAATTTTGATAACCATGTCGTATCAAAGTTTCAACTTTGCAATAATGAAAATAAATTTAGTTTTTAAAATCAATGAATATCAACTTTAACAAAATAATGAGGCATCAAAATATGCTCATCTGACCGTGATTAAATGCCTAAAACCCCTAAGCTTCCGGGGGCTTTGCCCCCTGGATTTTATCTAGGGCCCTACGGCGGGCCCTTAGATGATCATCTGACGGTAATTTAATGCCTAAAACCCTGATTTTTGGGGGCTCCGCCCCCTGGACCCCACGCCAAATAGTTACCTGCCAGTGTCACAAAATAATAAGGTATACACAAAAATATGCTCATCCGACCCTATAATTAAACGCCTAAAACCCCTGAGCTTCCGGGGCGGCTCCGCCGCCTCGACCCCACCAGGGGCCCTAAGGCGGGCCCCTGAATGCTTATCTGACCGTAATTTATTGCCTTAAACCCCTGGGCTTGCGGGGCCGGACAAGGTATCAAGATGTGTTTATCTGACGGCAGGCGCGTAGCCAGGGGGGGGGGGGCGGTCCCCCCCCCCCCAATCGGAAGAGGACGTAGGAAGAAAAAGGAGCAGACAAAAAACATCTTTGAAATTCAGACAAGGATTAAGAGTATAGAGAACGGTACAGCGCATCGTTTTCTTTTTCTAATAATAAAACGTCAAAGCCTCGCGCAGGAGGGTATGGGGGGGGGGGGGGACTGAATTCAGACGAGGATTCAGAGGCGAGAACGGTAATACGAATCTTTAATGATTTAATGAAACGTAAAAGCTTCGGCGCTTCGCGCGGGATGGAGGGGAACTAAATTCCGATGAGGATTATTTTCGAGAACGGTACACACGAATCGTCTTCTCCTCAAATGATTAAATGAAGATTAAAAGCTTCCGCTTTGCGCGGGAGGAGGGAACCTGAATTCAGGCGAGGATAAAGGGTCGAGAACTGTACAACGAATCGTTTTCCTTCATTAATAGTTTAATAAAACGTCAAAGCTTCCGCGCTTCGCGCAGGAGGGGGAGGGGAGGACTGAATTTAGACAAGGATTAAGAGTCGAGAACTGTACAACGAATCGTTTTCTTCCTCTAATGATTTAATGAAACGTAAACCTTCCGCGCTTTGCGCGGGAGGAGGGGGGGGGGGAACTGAAATCAGACGAGGATAAAGGGTCGAGAACGGTACAACGAATCGTCTTCTTTCTTTAATAGTTTAATAAAACGTCAAAGCTTCCGCGCTTCGCGCAGGAGGGGGAGGGGAGGACTGAATTTAGACAAGGATTAAGAGTCGAGAACTGTACAACGAATCGTTTTCTTCCTCTAATGATTTAATGAAACGTAAACCTTCCGCGCTTCGCGCTGGAGGAAGGAGGGGGGGGGGGGGGGGAACTGAAATCAGACGAGGATAAAGGGTCGAGAACGGTACAACGAATCGTCTTCTTCTTTAATAGTTTAATAAAACGTCAAAGCTTCCGCGCTTCGCGCAGGAGGGGGAGGGGGAGGACTGAATTTAGACAAGGATTAAGAGTATAGAGAACGGTACAACGCATCGTTTTCTTTCTCTAATAATAAAACGTCAAAGCCTCGCGCAGGAGGGTATGGGGGGGGGAATGAATTCAGACGAGGATTCAGAGGCGAGAACGGTAATACGAATCTTTAATGATTTAATGAAACGTAAAAGCTTCGGCGCTTCGCGCGGGATGGAGGGGGAACTAAATTCCGATGAGGATTATTTTCGAGAACGGTACAACGAATCGTCTTCTCCTCAAATGATTAAATGAAGATTAAAAGCTTCCGCTTTGCGCGGGAGGAGGGAACCTGAATTCAGGCGAGGATAAAGGGTCGAGAACTGTACAACGAATCGTTTTCTTTCATTAATAGTTTAATAAAACGTCAAAGCTTCCGCGCTTCGCGCAGGAGGGGGAGGGGAGGACTGAATTTAGACAAGGATTAAGAGTCGAGAACTGTACAACGAATCGTTTTCTTCCTCTAATGATTTAATGAAACGTAAACCTTCCGCGCTTCGCGCGGGAAGGGGGGGGGGGGGGGGGGGAGGGGGAACTGAATTCAGACGAGGATAAAGGGTCACGAATGGTACAACGAATCGTCTTCTTTCTTTAATAGTTTAATAAAACGTCAAAGCTTCCGCGCTTCGCGCAGGAGGGTGAGGGGAGGAGGGGGGGAATGAATTTAGACAAGGATTAAGAGTCGAGAACAGTACAACGAATCGTCTTTTTTATCTAATAATTTAATGAATCGTAAAAGCTTCCGCGCTTCGCGCGGGATGGGGGAACCTGAATTCAGAAGAGGATTAAGAGTCGAGAACTCTACAAGGAATCGTCTTCGTTCTCTAATAATTTAATAAATTGTAAAAATTTCCGCGCTTCGCGCGGGAGGGGAAAAACTAAATTCAGACGAGAATTATTTTCGAGAACGGTAAAACGAATCGTCTTCTTTCTCTAATAATATAATGAAACGTCAAAGCTTGGGAGGGGGAAATTCCCCCCCCCCACATTACGTCACTGTTGGTCACCATTACGTACCAATATATGGCTCGCATAATTTCAAATTCAGGCCCCCCCCCCCCCCCCTGATCCGCGCCTGAATATACCACATCGACACGGTTTTGAAGATTTGTTTCTGTTTGGGACCGGGAGGAAATTCAATGAATTATTTATAATTTATTGCATTTTTCCCCCTCTTTTGTATTTTTGGACGGGGAGGGGGGCGGGAAGTGAACGCTCCTTATTTCGAACCCCCCCCCCCCCTCCACTTGAGCGAAAAACATAAATCACATCTTTTACTTTTTTTTTGGGGGGGGGGCGGGACCTTGGGCCCCCTGTCGATCCGCCCCTGCGTGTGTGTGTGTGTGTGTGTGTTGTTCGAAACTAACCACTGTTCTCTCAAGCGTAAGCTGTCGTCAACAGTTTTAGCGTCTTCCGATTGAATAAACTCTCACCCATAATTTCTCATAAAGAAAAAATAATGCAGACATTGCGAAATTATAATTTTGGAAGATATTTAAAAAGTGTGTATTTTTTCTGGTGCACACTGTACTTTATAGCGATTCCACTCCACGCCAGTGCATACAATTGTCTCTTTTTTCATTACGCGTCTGCGCCATTTATACGTGTATACCTTTGAAGGTGTACATGCATTCTTTTAAATAAACAAGGACATATGTAGGCCTGCGTTTGATTTGCCATTGAGAGTACACAAGCATCAACATTTGTCAAGACAAATGCCCTGTTCCGTATAGTGTGAAATTAAACTGTGCACAAGTTTTATTTATTTATTTATTTATTTATTTCGGTTTAAAAAGACATATAAATATACATGATTCAAAGGTCCAAGGACCAAAACTGTTCATGTTTACAAATTATACAATACGGTTATAAATAAAGTAAATATACAATAGTGAGCCAAACGAAAGGTATGACAAGTACAATACGAAATAAAGATGACAAAAATAATTCAATTCCATCAATACAATACCAAAATAAACTAAGAGAAAGTAGGGTCAGGATCATCAAATTACTAAACTGGTATATGGTAATGGTAGCAGATAAACAGACAAAAATAATGTTGAGCAACCAAACAATCAAAGAAAAAAGGGGGGGAAATATTTTGAAGATAGGCAACGATAAAAGCCTTAAAACCTGAGTTAACATAATTACGTTTGAGTTGATAAGAAAACCACACAGAAATATATAAATTACAAATTGGAATCGACTTTAAAAATTAGTTATACAATGCCATTATTAAAATATAACGTACACCAAATTGTGAATGTGTCAATTAAAAGATTCTGAGGAAAAAGGCAAGAGAGAGAGAGAGAAAGATGATAGAGATAGAGATAGATAGAGAGAGAGAGAGAGAGAGAATCAAGGCTTATTAATTGCACGAACAAGAGAAGGAACAGCAGAATTTTGATATCGGCTAGTCCTGCACCTAGGAATGACCAAACCATGATTATTACGGAGGGGGCGAAAATTGGGCAAGGAATCTTTAGATGGTGGAAGTAAGTCTCTGTGTCGGGACGTCAGTAACGAGTGGGCAAACTTAGCATCAAGCTCTATTCTTCTTGCTTGAAGGGAGGGCAGATTTAGACTCTCTAGCCTTTCATCATAGGTGAGAGGGGTGAAACCGAGAATGATCTTGGTCACACGTCTCTGAACTCTCTCAACTTTCTCAGACTGTTGACAAGTGATTGAAGAAGACCAGACAGGTGAGGCATACTCTAGAATGGGACGGATATGGGATGCGTAAATGGTAACTAGATCACTACAGGATGCGTTGTATTTCTTCAAGATACACAACATAAACAATCGTCTCGAAGCTTTTTGAACGACGAGATCAATTTGTTGATCCCACTTCATATTACATTGCAAAGTAACTCCTAACAGTGACAGGTGTGTGACTTCCTGAAGAACAGAATCGCCGATCTTGATTTCAGGGAAAGGTGGAGGGTTTCGCATGAAGCATATATTAAGGATCTTACATTTTGACGGTTTAGGCGTCATGTGATTTGTGCTGGACCATTGGGTTAGCTGGGAGACCTGATCTTGCAATTGTGATTGCTGAGTATGTTTTCTGAATTCTGCTAGGGTAAGGTCGTCAACATATTTCCATCTATTTGGGGTGAAATCTGCAGCATCATTGATCATGATCAGAAAAAGGATTGGGCCAAGCTTGGTGCCCTGTGGGACACCACATGTTATGGATTGAACTTGAGAGGTAATGCCACCAAGGCGGACAGTTTGACATACATTTGAAATATCAAAACTTTGATTCAGCAGTTTGGACAATTTTCCTCGTTCATTTAATATGGGCGGATCCATTCAATAACTCACACTGTTGACTGCAGGTGGCTGGTACTGGTTGCGTGCTTTGGATTTGGCCGAATCATTAGACCTACGCGTACGTTGGTGGAAATACATTGCGTCATGGCGGAAAAGGCAGAAGGCGCTGCTTCTCAAAATATATTGTGTCCTTTGTGCCTGGACGTGTTTGATAATGCTTCCATGTTGATATGTGGACATACGTTCTGCAAGCAGTGTTTAGAGAGGTATGATGCCGCCCATCGAGACCTAGATCACATGGTGTGTCCTCTCTGCAGGAAAGTCACCAAATTGGATGAAAGTCGAGTCCCTGGTCTACCCGCAAACTTCACCGTCAGAGGCTTGGTAGACGAGTACCACGGCTCAAATGGTGGGATAAATGCCGTTCTGGAGGATCGACCAAAGTGCACTGCTTGTGAGCTCCAGGGAGATGCTGTATCCTTCTGCTACGAGTGTGGCACTTACATGTGCGCCAAGTGTGACCATGGTCATAGTCAAATGACATCGTTCTTCAAGGGACATCAGGTTGTGTCCATAAAAGACGTCGTGGAAGGAACTGCACATATCGGGCAAGTCAGAAACAAGTGTTCGGTGCACAAGCATGAAAACAAGGATCTTTTCTGCAAAGACTGCAAAGTATATCTTTGTCTGAAGTGCATGATCGTTGATCATCGTGATCACAACTTCAAAAATCAGGCTGACGTTGAGAGGGAGATTCAGCAGAAAGTGGACAATATCGTCAAGCGCAGCAGCGATAGAAAACACGAGTTCGAGAAACATATCCAGGACATTGAATCCAAACGCCAAAAAATCTACACGGCTATCCAAAAGCTGGAAGGTGACATAGAAGAGGCATTCATGGGAAAACTTGACAAACTGAAAGAGAATAAGCAGTTGCTTATCACAGAAACACAGCTCCTTCGAGAGAATTGTGACCAGGAATGTGATGCATTGAAGTCTTGTCATCGACATAGGATCGAGGCTATTTCAAGCTCTGTGAGCCTCGTGGCCAACGGAAGGTTAAGACATTTAGAGAAAGACAGGCTGGCGGCGCACTCAGTAATCTCCAACGAACTAGAAGGTCTCTTGGAGGAAGCTATTGATGAGGCATCTGTAACCGACTTAATGACAATTACTACTCAGAAACTATTCATACCGGCCGGGGATACGCTACTTGATCTTGGTCGTATGTCAATTCCTCCATTGGAAATAGGAAAAATGGTAGACCTACCATGCCCAATGAGTGGCATAACACGACTTTCTGAGAATTCGATTCTTGTTGGATATGGTAGAAGTAAGCATGATGCTGACAAAGTGGAAATCAGTGGAAGCGTGCAAAAATGTACACGAAAGGGTGCATTTCTCCATGACATCGCCTATCAAAGCAATTCAACGATTGTCGTGTCAAGAGATAGAGGGACAATACGTTTCTACAGTGCTAAAGACTGGTCGCATATAACAGACTAAACAATCTTAAATGATACAGGATCTTCATTCCCATATTTAACTGTTAGCTCTGAGAATGAAATCATAGCGGCGAACAAGAATGATCGGATTCATATCTTTGATCCTACTGCAAGCACGAGAATGCACTCAATTGCAGCAGTAGAAAAAACATGCCAAGCCCTTGCAACCAAGTCAGGTATGATCGTTTCAAGTTCTTGCCATAATACTCCAAGCAGAGTACGAGTCTATGACAGAGATGGGAAATCTGGTGATCCTATATCAGCCAAAGAGGGGGAACATCTCTATCCTGCAGTAGATGAGGAAGACAGTGTGTTCATTGCGAGTGTCAATCAGCCAGCTGGTAGAATACAAATCACCCTCTACCGTCCTGAAGGTTTGAAGCTCAAGAAAGTGATTGAGTTCGATGAGCTTGAACTAACACTGAATAGTTCATGGTGTTACCTAGTTTCTCTACCCCGTAATACACTTGCATTCGCTTGTGGTACAAAGGTGTATTTTCTTAAAATTCCACATGGAACAGTTCCTTTGGCTGCAGAATAACCAGAAACCAAAAGCCAGAGTTGTCTTTAATTGTTGTCTCCACATGATAACAGTTCTCGTGGCGTCTGATACTCTAGTGATAGTGTTATATCCCCTAAATGCTAGTTATAATATAGACACGTGCTACATGATAACGTACATGTCACTAAGAACTAAATACTATATTTCGTGAGCACTAAGTTTGTGTGTATTGGATTTGTTCTTGTAAGTACAAGAAAATATATGTCAAAGGTCATTGTGATTGTAAGTAGTTTACATCTGTTCTGTATCCCCTAAGATGTCGCAATGGAAAATACATTACAGAAGTGGTAGCAATGCCGGTAAAATACCCTGCCTTTATAATGGTATCCCTGAAATGGACCCTAAACAAAAACTGTTCGACATCGAAATAATCTTGATTCATTGTTAATGACATCTTAAGTCAGTGTCAGATCTTATGAATTTTAAAATAGTCAATGGGTATACTTTATAATATCAGTATACCATATATTTATGTACATGCCATTACTTGGAAACCGTTTGTTGTTTATGTAAGTTTGAGTTATATGATTATTTTCTGTATATATTTGATAACTACACAATCGTTCAACACTTAGAACAAACCAAAAATAATTTTCCTCTGTTCAATGATTGTAATTAATGATTGATTTGCCATAAATTACCTTGGATATTGAACGAGGTCGACCTTGGATATAGCTGTTTCTATTATTTGTCTCTGTTGACCCAAATGTCTAGTTGTTACAGAAGAAATTGAACATCTTTTGAAAATTTTGATAAGTGAAATAAACTAAATGAATGAATGGAAATAACATACCATACACACATACTGCAACTCTTGTTAAATACGCTTCCACATTCTGCAGTGATTTTCACTGCTATTTTTTATTAGTTTGTGAATTTACTTTCAGCGTCTACAGTATGAGATTTGAAAGTTCCTTATGTTTTGATGTAAGGAGACAATGTCTATTGTCTTATTAGAGTTAAGATGTATTTCGTTAAACATCATAAAAATTATATATTCATATTTGTAAGTAATGACCGCATCATAGAAAAATAACATGGATAAGATATTTTGTACATCTGAGCAGTAGCAATCAATCAAATTAATATTTTTTCTTTGCTTCTTGTCATTTCTCGTTGCTCATTTCTCGAGTTTCATATAATATGTAGAACATGTACATTGAATGATTAAAGCATGGAGTTAGGCTAGTAACTCCATGGATTAAAGAGTATACTAAACAAAATAACTGATACAGAAAAGGGAGTTGAATCCTATACAAGAAGTAGTTTGTGATGCGTATGATGCCTTAAATAGCAGCTGCGTTTTGTAAATTCATGTACTATTATAGTTATTATTTTGCAGTCTTCCAAATTTCATTCTGCAGTGATATTTCTAATTTGGTGTCTTTATCATTGACGGTTGTGTACATTGCATTTTAAAAGACTGAAATTGGCTGTAGTCAACTTGAACTTAATATGAAGCTCCAATTTACTGCTTTGAGAAGCTCACTTTAAAAAAAAAAACTCTCATAATTATTATACTGTTTGGAATCAAGGAAAGATAACCAAAGATAAGTCCTATCTGGAGAGCTATAATCATTTTGAAATATTATGCATAATCTTGTTTTGTTTTCTTCAAAAGATGATGTCGACATGATTGAAGAGCTTTATAAAGCCATTGTTGGGTTGAACTTGTGGTAATGACGGGCCAAATGTTAAAGGTCAATTGCAGATTCGCAAATAAGATTACACATGGTCTGTTACAGGTGGTTTGAGTTGATGTTATGATATGTAATGAAGTAATAAAGCAGAGGGCAGGAAGGGAAAACCGGTTCGAATCTGTTCAATAAGGATCAAAGTTTGTTATTAAATGATCAACAAGTTACATTATGATAACTATATCTTGTGCCCACTTGTGTAAATGTTAGTCCATTTTCTTCACTTAAAAATAGTCAATGTTAGAAGATTCGTTTATATGTTCATATACCCCCTCCCGAAAAACAAACAAACCCAAAAGCAGATATGGATGAAAGAGAAATTAAGGCAGACGTAGCGATGGGAAAGGATTGTGGGGCAACGATAGGAAGGCAATTGGAGAGAGAGAGAGAGAGTGATAGAGAGGGGTGGAGAGTGATTGGAAACAGTTTGAAAGGCAGATCATGCATGAGAGAGAATGATGAGAACTCTGGCAAAAGCGTCAAAGAGAACGAGAGAAAGAGAGAGAGAGAGAGAGAGGGGAGGGAGAGAGAGAGAGAGAGAGAGGGGGAGAGGAGAGAGAGAGAGAGAGAGAGAGGGAGAGAGAGGGGGGGGGGGGCGGGGGAGGTGTGAGTGAAAGGAAATAGGTCTACTAGAGGAAGTTTGTGTGTGTGAGAAAGAGAAGTAGAGATATGGAGGGGGGGGGGGGGGGAGATAAGTGACTCTTTATATTCAAAGAGCGAGAGAGAAAAAAAGAAATCACGATAAATTTGACAACAATAGGGATAATATAGTAATAATTTCTCATGAAAAGTAGATTTTTCAAACACACAAGAACACCGACTAATTGCCAGCTCAGCTCATTATCTCTCATTCTTCCAAATTAGAAATGTCAACAGAAAAAAAAGTCCATTCGGACAACAGTATATTTTTTTGCCTAATAAGATGAGAACCTATTACATATAAAGTTTGCTGAAATTTAGTTTTGAAGGGCCTCTTTTATTGTTCATAATCAATTCAGAATTGAAACACGAAACACATCTGGAAGTGTTTTAAGAAGGCAGACAATTCATGTAAGCTTACCGTGAAAGAATTTTCGTCTTTGATCAGAATCTATTTTGAATACTTTTTGACACACTGTTCAATAATGTCAAAACTTACGCATACACGCCCAGCTGCACCATGGTGCCAAGAAGCAGGCTGGAAATACTGATATACCTTAGGATTTGTTCACATTTCTGTAGTCAAAGAGTGTTTATTCTGAATGTATACTGCTATCCAGAGATGCATGCTTGTAAAAAGATTACTGGACCACATCACTGATAGTCACATCAAAATTAATGTGGATGAGCATTAGTTTATGATAATAATAATTATAATGATGATGATAATAATGATACAATAGTACTACTACTACTACTACTACTACTTATAATAATAATAACTTTTCTATGCGCTTCCAAAGGATTTAAGATATAATACCTTGGCTTTAGCTTGAGTATTATCAATACAACTTGTCACTTAACCCTATAACAACTTTGCTCTAGATCAGCCAATCAAGTGCAAGAATTGCAGTAGCTTATAACAGTTATTGTTACTTCTCATAATCTCATTGATAACGAGTTTTATGAAAAACGACCCAGGTATACTTGGATCGAACGTGGCAAATGTAGATTAATTTCTTGCCAAAGGACGTTAGTGCTGTGGCATGGATTCGAACCTCATACCTTGTCGTTCACAGTCGGACAGTCCTGAGACCTTTCCTATTTCCTATATATATATTTTTTTTTTGGTCCCAAAATTTGAAAATTTGCCGTAAGGGGTAAGGTCACCCATTAGCATAACTTTTTTATTTTTTGCTTATTTTTAATTATGATTAAAAAACAAATAAAAACAACAAGGGGGTAGGGGTGGGGGGGGGGGGGGGGGGGGGGTTCGTCCAAAATACACACATACAAAGTACCAAGGGGGGGGGGGGGGGGGTTCAACTTCAACCCCCTGTGTACGCGCCTGGTCATATATATATATATATATATATATATATATATATATGAGAGTAAAAAGTAAGATCTTTAACTTCAAAATGATGTGGGTCATTATTTAGTTAACCTGTCATACAATAGTTTTAAGAGCCTTTTAAAGATGAAAATGTATTTTAGCCATATATTTTCTGCATTGTGCTGATAAGCCTTCCCATATGCCGGTTTGCGCCCTAAATTGAGTCTAACAATAAGACACAGACAAGTTGCTTAGGCATGTGAAATATATGAGGGAAAAGAGTAAGATTTCACCTTTAAAATGGTGATGGACATTATTTAGTTTAGATTTCAAAATAGTTTGAAAAAAAAAACATTCAAATCTAATTTCTCACTCTGACTGCAGCAGCCGTTATCGTCAGCCGAGACGCGGACAAATTTCTTTTTCCTTTTCGATTGTACGATTTGGAGACACTATAGCCTCAATTATTGGTGACTATCCTCCTCCGTTGGTCGATCGCCAGTACAGTTTTAACGAGCGGAGCTACAGTATATCCTCTCACCATTAGACCTACAGTGCAGTATACACGTACCCTCCGTCATGGCGGAAAAGGCAGAAGAGGCAGCTTCTCAAAATATATTGTGTCCTTTGTGCCTGGACGTGTTTGATAATGCTTCCATGTTGATATGTGGACATACGTTCTGCAAGCAGTGTTTAGAGAGGTATGATGCCGCCCATCGAGACCTAGATCACATGGTGTGTCCTCTCTGCAGGAAAGTCACCAAGTTGGATAAAAGTCGAGTCGCTGGTCTACCCACAAACTTCACCGTCAATGGCTTGGTAGACGAGTATCACAGTTCACAAGGTGGGATAAATGCCGTTCTGGAGGATCGACCGAAGTGCACTGCTTGTGAGCTCCAGGAAGATGCTGAATCCTTCTGCTACGAGTGTGGCAATTACATGTGCGCCAAGTGTGATCATTGTCATAGTCATCTGACATCGTTCTTCAAGGGACATCAGGTTGTGTCCATGAAAGACGTCGTGGAAGGAACTGCCAGTATCGGGCAAGTCACAGACAAGTGTTTGGTGCACAAACATGAAAACAAGGATCTTTTCTGCGAAGATTGCAAAGTATACTTATGTCTGAAGTGCATGATCGTTAATCATCGGGATCACAATATAAAAAATCAGGCTGACTTTGAGAGGGAGATTCAGCAGAAAGTGGATGACTTCACCAAGCGCAGTAACGACAGAAAAAATGAGTTCGAGAAGCATATCCAGGACATTGAATGCAAACGCCAAGAGATCTTCACCACTATCCAAAAGCTGCAAGGTAACATAAGAGAGGCATTTATGGGAAAACTTGAAAAACTGAAAGAGAATGAGCGGTTGCTTATAACAGAAACACAGCTACTGCAAGAGAATTGTGACAAAGAACTGGATGCCTTGAAGTCTGGTCATCGACAGAAGATCAAGGCTATTTCAAGCTCTGTGAGCCTTGTGGCCAATGGAAGGTTGAGACATTTAGAGAAAGACAGTCTGACAGCACACTCGTTAATCTCCAATGAACTAGAAGGTCTCTTGGAGGAAGCTATCGATGAGGATTCTGTAACCGACTTAATGACACGCACCTCCACAACACTGTTCATACCGGCAGGAGATACGCTTCTTGATCTTGGTCGTGTGTCAATCCCTTGTATGGCAATAGGAAAAATGGTGGACCTACTATATCCAATGAGTGGCATAACACGACTATCTGAGGATTCGATTCTCGTTGGATATGGAAGTAGTAGGTATGATGCTGATAAAGTGGAAATAAATGGAAGCGTTCGAAGATGTACACAAAGGAGTGTAAGGCTCTATGACGTCACCCATCAAAGCAATTCAACAATAGTGTTATCAAGAGATCAAAGGAAAATACGTTTCTACAGTGCTAAAGACTGGTCGTTGACATCAGAAAAAACAATCTCAAATGATACAGGATCTTCATACCCATTTATAAGTGTTAGCTCTGAGAATGAAATCATAGCGGCAAACAAGAATGATCGGATTCATATCTTTGATCCTACTGGAAGCACGAGAAAGCACTCAATTGCAACAATGGAAACACCAATGCAAGCGCTTGCAACCAAGTCAGGTGTGATCATCTCAAGTTCTTGCTACAATACCCCCAGCAGAGTACGAGTCTATGACAGAGATGGGAAATCGGGTGATCCTATATCAGCCGAAGAGGGTGAACATCTCTACCCAGCAGTAGATGGTGAAGACAGGGTGTTCATTGCGAGTGTCAATAAGCCAGCTGGTAGAATACAAATTACTCTCTACCGACCCGAATGTTTGATGCTCAAGAATGTGATGGAGTTCGAGGAGCTTGAACTAACGCTAAATAGCACATGGTGTTACCTAGTTTCTGTATCCCGAAATACACTTGCATTTGTTTGTGGTACAAAAGTGTATTTCCTTACTATTCCACCTGGAATAGTTCCTTTAGCTGCAGAATAACCAGAAACCAAAAGCCAGAGTTGTCTGTAAGGGTTTTTTCACATGATAACAGTACTCATGGCGTCTGATAGTGTTATAACCCCCAAGATAGTTAAGATATACATGTAGACACGTGTTACATACATGTACATATTAAGTTTTTGTGTACTGGATTAGTTCTCGTCAGTACAAGAAAATATATTTCTATTCAATGATTTAAAGGTCGAGGTCAATGTTGCGATTTCAAGTAGTTTACAAAGATCTGTTCTGTATCTCCCCTCAAATGGCGCAATTGAAAATACATTAAAGCAGAAGTAGCAATGTCGGTAAAATACCCTGCCTTCATTTGAATATCCCTAAAATGGACACTAAACAAATTAAAAGCTGTTCGTTATCTTAAATAATCTCAATTCAATATTAATGACATGTTCAGTCAGTTAATGAAAGTTATGATAGTCGATGGGTATACTCCATACTATCAGTATACCACACAATTATGTGCATGCATTATTTGAAAACCATTTTTTGTTTGTATATTGGTTGAGTTCTTTATTTATTACGTGCATATATTTGATAACTGTACATAATTGTTCAACGTTAGTAAAAACCAAAAATACTTTTCTTTTATTCAATGATTGTTATTAATGATTGATTTGTCATAAATTACTTTGGTTATTGAACGAGATCAACCTTGGATATAACTTTGTCTATTCTTTGTCTCTGTTGACCCAAATGTGTAGTTGTTTGAAAATTGAACATCTTTTGAAAATTTTGATAAGTGAAATAAAATAAATGAATGAATGGAAATAACATACCATACACACAGACTGCAACTCTTGTTAAATACGCTTCCAAATTCTGCAGTGATTTTCACCGCTACTCGTTATTTGTTTGTGAATATACTTTCAGCGTCTACAGTATGAGATTTGAAATTTTCTTATGTTCAGAGGTAAAGATGGAAAGAGATAATATCTATTGTCTTATTAGAGTTGAGATGTATTTCGTTAAACATCATGAACTGTATCTATTCATATTTTAAGTAATAACCGCATCATAGAAACATAACATGGGTAAGCTATTTGATACTTCTGAGCAGTAGCAAGCAATTCAATTTATATTTTTCTTTGTTTCTTGTCATTTCTCGTACTTTCAGAGTTTCAGATAATATGTAAATAATGTACATTGTATGATTCAAGAGTATACTAACCAAAATAATACAGGAAAAGGAGTTGGTCCTATTCAACAAATAGTCTGTGATGGATGCCTTAAATAGCAGCTGCGTTTTGTAAATCCATGTAGGCCTACTATACGTTATAATTATTATTTTGTCTTCCAAATTCTATTCTGCAGTGGTTTTCTAATTTGGTGTCTTCATCATTGATGGTTGTGTACATTGCATTTTAAAAGAATGGAATTGACTGTAGTCAACTTGAACTTAATTTGTAACTCCAATTTACTGCTTTGGGAAGTTAATTTTTTTACAAACAAACCTCTCATATTTATTAGACTGTTTGGAAGCAAGGAAAGATAACCAAAGATAAGTCTTAATCATAATTCTGTAGAGCTATAATTATTTTGAAATATTATGTATAAACTTGATTTGTTTTCTTCACAAGATGATGTCGACATGATTGAAGAGCTTTATAAAGCCATTGTTCGGTTGAACTTGTGTGTTAATGAAGGGCCAAATGTTTAAAGGTCAATTGCAGATTCGCAGATAATTACACTGTTCACATAGTCTGTTAAAGGTGGTTCGAGTTGATTTTATCATATGTAATAAAGTAATAAATCAGAGGACAGGACGGGAGAACAGGTTTGAATCTGTTCAATAAGGATCAAAGTTTGTTATTCAAAGATCAACAAGTTTACATTATGATAATTCAATTTTGTGCCTGCTTGTGTTAAAATTAGTTTATTTTTTAGTAGCGATGGGAAAGGATTGTGGGGCAACAATAAGAAAGGAATATGAGAGAGAGGAAGATGATTATGGTGAGAGAAAGAGAGAGAGAGAGGGGGGGGGGAGGAGTTGGGGGTGAGTTCAATGAAAATAATAGTAGATCTTTAATAGGAAAAGAAAGAGAGAGGGTGGAGATAAGTGAGAGGAAACGATAGGCCTTTACTAGAGGAAAACTAAGTGTGTGAGAAAGAGAGAGGAAATAGGTCTATAAGAGGAGGTTGAAGGGCATGCATGCGTGTGTGTGTGTGTGAGAGAGAGAGTAGGGTAGAGAGAGAGAGAGAGAGAGAATATTCTGCATCTTTTTTTCTTTTTTTACCTTTTTTTTAGTGCACAGTTACCAAAACCTAAACAGAATGATTTTTAAAATTATCATTGTTGCACCATTTCCCATTAGTGGCGTACGTAGCCTGGGCTCAGTCATGGGGGGGGGGGGGGGGCAAAAGTCTTAAGTCTACTAGCTTAGCTTTTCTTTTCGCTTTTAAATCACGGCTTCCTTCAAAGAGAGGAAAGAAGAGTCCACTAGCAAACTCCAAAGCCACTGTGCAATGTTCGTCGGGTGAAGGAAGGGGGTGATTTCGAGCACATTTTAGGCTTTTTTTTTACCTGCTTCCTCATGCAGGGGTATGGGTGCAAAAAACACCCTGCCAGTTAAGGCTAGATGATATCAATATCATTTTGTCATTATCTAACAACATGTTAGCCAGACTCGTCAGTTTCAGATGCACGAGCGTATATTTAACATATATTTTATTCACGCTCGCAAGATGACTATTGTATTGAAATACAATTATTTGTATAGTGTAGGGCAAAGTTTAAAGTTCGTGGGGAAAACCCAGACACCATAGTTAGAATGTGGGATATTAATACAGGGTGTATAAACAAAAAGTACTCACTTTGAAAGTATCGTCCAAAATTTTAATTTCATGATATCTCTATTTTGTTCTCTTACAATAACGGGAGAAGGTCTTCAATCGGATATCACTAAAAATTGTTGACAATTTTAGCTTACGGTCGAGAGAGAAATGGCTAATTTCGAGGAAAAAAAATGGATAAAATGTGTTTTTCCCCAAATGTTTCAGCCTTGGATAAGGTTATTACAGAACAAAATTAATCAGGCAGTTATCGCATAAGTTCTGTTAAATATTTATTGATTTGAACTATCATTTAATCTTAATATAGCTGTGCATACACCTACAGTTTGTAGTAGCGTACTCAAAAATGATAAAAGAGAGGGGAGGTATATAAACTCGATCCCAAGACAGGAATTCAGTAAATGTATCTTGGCAGCCCCTTTCTTGTAGGCCTACCCCATAGCAAGTTTCACTGTCTTTCGTGGCCCTTCAAGAAGAAGCTATACTATTAAAGCTTCACCCAATGCTAGATACGCCACTGCCAAATCACCACCACCTCTATCATTGTAGATAATGTCTTTCCAGCTCTGATTCATGCGCATTTTGATCAGTAGCCTTTTTGTCTCGACATTGTTGGAATGATTAAATACACTGTTGCTCATAAAGTTGGAATATTTTTCTTTTACCCCAATTTATGGAATTATTTTGACAATGATTTATTCCTAATAGATCTAGATAATAGTATAAATTCTGAGATTTTATTGAATAATAATTTGCCAGTGTTTGTTTTGCATGACTGCTAAAGCATGTGTATGCTAATATGCTTATCATAGAGGACCTTCGCCCTTAAGTCATAAATGACAGTAATGAGGAGTAATGCCCCACAAAAGGGCACTAATATACCACATCGACACGGTTTTGATTCTGGGGCCTCACAGTTATGAGGCCCTTGCTTTGCCACTTAACCATGACTGTACGCAGCGGGGGCTAGGGTAGGGGCCAGTTCCCACAAATAAAAAAAAAGCAAAGAAAAAGCAATAAATTATCAATAATTCATTGCATTTACCCCGGTCCCCAACATAAAAAAATCCTCTGTACGGCCATGCATTGTATCTCGAGGCATGGGCACACAGAAAATGTCTTTCTGTTTGGAAACGGGAGAAAATGCTATGATTTATGGATAATTTATTGCATTTCTTTTTTCTTTTTTTGTATTTTTGGACGGGGAGGGGGGCGGGAAGTGAACGTTCCTTATTTTGAACCCCCCCCCCTCCACTTGAGCGACAAAACATGAATTACATCTTTTCCTCTTTTTTTGGGGGGGGGGGGCCGGGGGTGGGGGCATTTTCATTTTTTTTGCGGGGGGGGGGGCGGGACCGTGGGCCCCCTGTTGATACGCTCCTGCGTGTGTGTGTGGGGATGGGGGGGGGGGGGGTTAGAGGTTCATGATCGACTGCAGATGTAAGGTCAAAGATCAACTGATGGTTCAAATTAATTATTGATAACTGTAATTGATTTCTGACATGAATTAGCTAATTCAATCCAATTCAAATATGAACATTTTTTTCACAGACCATAATTTGTTGCGAATTGTTCGAAACTATCCACTGTTCTCTCAAGCGTAAACTGTCGTCAACAGTTTTAGTGTCATCCGATTGAATAAACCCTCACCCATAATTTCTCATAAAGAAAAAATAATGCAGACAACTAAAATTTTCGAAGATATTTAAAAAGTGTGTATTTTTCTGGTACACACTGTACTTTATAGCGATTCCACTCCACGCCAGTGCATACAATTGTCTCTTTTTTCTTCACGCGTCTGCGCCATTTTATACGTGTATACTTTTGAAGGTGTACATGCATTCTTTTAAATATATAAGGACATCCGAAGGCCTGCGTTTGAATTGCCATTGAGAGTACACAAGCATCAACATCTGTCAAGACATATGCCCTGTTCCGTATAGTGTGAAATTAAACTGTGCACAAGTTTGACATACATTTGAAATATCAAAACTTTGATTTAGCAGTTTGGACAATTTTCCTCGTTCATTTGATATGGGCGGATCCATTCAATAACACACACTGTCGACTGCAGGTGGCTGGTACTGGTTGCGTGTTTTGGATTTGGCCGAACCATTAGACCTACGCGTACGATGGTGGAAATACATTGCGTCATGGCGGAAAAGGCAGAAGAGGCAGCTTCTCAAAATATATTGTGTCCTTTGTGCCTGGACGTGTTTGATAATGCTTCCATGTTGATATGTGGACATACGTTCTGCAAGCAGTGTTTAGAGAGGTATGATGCCGCCCATCAAGATCTTGATCACATGGTGTGTCCTCTCTGCAGGAAAGTCACCAAGTTGGATGAAAGTCGAGTCACTGGTCTACCCACAAACTTCACCGTCAAGGGCTTGGTAGACGAGTACCACGGCTCACATGGTGGGATAAATGCTGTTCTGGAGGGTCAGCCGAAGTGCACTGCTTGTGAGCGCCAGGGAGATGCTGTATCCTTCTGCTACGAGTGTGGCAATTACATGTGCGCCAATTGTGACCATGGTCATAGTCATCTGACATCGTTCTTCAAGGGTCATCAGGTTGTGTCCATGAAAGACGTCGTGGAAGGAACTGCACATATCGGGCAAGTCACAGACAAGTGTTTGGTGCACAAGCCCGGCAAAAAGGAACTTTTCTGCGAAGATTGCAAAGTATATATATGTCTGATGTGCACCGTCCTTAATCATCGTGATCACAAAATCAAACATCAGGCCGACCTCGAGAAAGAGATACGGCAGAAAGTGGATGACATCATCAAGCGCAGTAACGACCGAAAAAATGAGTTTGAGAAACATATCCAGGACATTGAATCCAAACGCAAAGAAATCGACACCGCTATCCAAAAGCTGCAAGGTAACATAAAAGAGGCGTTTACGGAAAAACTAGACAAACTGAAAGAGAATGAACGAATGCTTATCACAGAAACACAGCTACTGCGAGAGAATTGTGGCAAAGAACTGGATGCCATGAAGTCTGGTCATCGACAGAAGATCAAGGCTATTTCAAGCTGTGTGAGCCTCGTGGCCAAAGGAAGGTTGAGACATTTAGAGAAAGACAGTCTGACAGCACACTCATTAATCTCAAACGACCTGAAAGGTCTCTTGGAGGAAGCTATTGATGAGGCATCTGTAACCGACTTAATGAAACGTACTTCCAAGACGCTGTTTATACCGGCAGGAGATACACTACTTGATCTTGGTCGTATTTCAAGTCCTCGTATGGCAATAGGAAAAGTGGTTGACCTACCATATCCAATGAGTGGCATAACACGACTATCTGATGATTCGATTCTTGTTGGATATGGTAAAAGCAGGTGCGATGCTGATAAAGTGGAAAACAATGGAAACGTGCAAAGCTGTCGACAAAATAGTTTCCATTTTTACGATATCGCCATTCAAAGCATTTCACAGATTTTGGCACCTTTAAATCGGGGACGATTAAGTTTTTTCAGTGCTAAAGACTGGTCGAGGAGATCAGACAAGGCATTCTCAAATGATACAGGATATTCATACCCATATTTAACTGTTAGCTCTGAGAATGAAATCATAGCGGCGAACAGAAATGATCGAATTCATATCCTTGATCCTACTGTAAGCAGGATAAAGCATTCGATTACAACAGTGGACAAAGCAAACCAAGCCCTTGCAACCAAGTCGGGCGTGATCGTCTCAAGTTCTTGTTCCAATACTCCCAGCGTAGTACGACTCTATGACAGAGATGGGAAATCTGGTGATCCTATAGCAGCCAAAGAGGGGGAATATCTGTATCCAGCAGTAGATGAGGAAAACAGGGTGTTCATTGCGAGTGTCAATAAGCCAGCTGGTAGAATACAAATCACCCTCTACCTTCCTGAAGGTTTGAAGCTCAAGAAAGTGGTAGAATTCGAGGAGCTTGAACTAACACTGAATAGTGCTTGGTGTTACCTAGTTTCTCTATCCCGTAATAAACTTGCATTCGCTTGTGATACAAAGGTGTATTTCCTTACTTTTTCACCTGGAATAGTTCCTGTTGCTGCAGAATAACCAGAGACGAAAAGTCTGAGTTGTTTTTAAGTTTGTTTCCCCACTTGATAACAGTTCTCATGTCATCTGAAAGTATTATTTTCCCTCTAGATGCTAGGTATAATATACACGTGTAACACATTAGTACAAAATATTAAATGTGTGACCATTATGTTGGTGTTTATTAGATTAGTCCTGTAAGTACAAGAAAATATATTTATATTCAACAATTTAAAGGTCATTGCAATTTCAATTAGTTTACATCTGTTCTGTATCCCCCCAAAGATTGCGTAAAATACCCCGCCTTCATAATGATATCCCTAAAATGGACACTCGACAAGTTCAAAGCTGTTCGATATCAAAAATAATCATGTCAAATCTTATGAATGTAATAGTAGTCAATGGTTCATGTGTACATGTGCTCCATAGAATGTACTACCAGTATACTACACAATTCTGTGCATGTCATTACTTGGAAACCATTTGTTGTTTGTGTAAGTTTGAGTAATTGAGTTATATGATTATTTCCTGTATATTTTTGATAATTACACAATCGTTCAACGTTAAAACAAACCAATTTGTTTCCCCTCTATTCAATGATTGTTATTAATGATTGATTTGTCATAAATTACCTTGGAAATTGAACGAGGTCGACCTTGGCTACCTTTTACTATTTGTTGGCTCTGTCTATTGACCCAAATGTCTTTAGTAGTTGTTAGTTGTTACAGAGAAATTCAACAAGTAGTTTGTGATGCGTGTGATGCCTTGATGTTTTGTTCAGCAGCTGCGTTTTGTAAATCCATGTACTATTATACACTGCAGTTATTGTTTTGCAGTTGTCCAAATTCTATTCTGTGTATTTTCATTGATGGTTGTGTACATTGCATTTTAAAAGAATGGAATGGACTGTAGTCAATTTGAACTTATTTTGTAACCTCAATTTACTGCTTCGGGAAGCTCACTTTTAAAAACAGACCAAGGAAAGATAATCATGCACTCCCAATCATAATTTTGTAGAGCTGCAATTATTTGTAAATAATATGCATAAACCTACTCTGGTCTCTTCAAAAGATGATGTTGACATGATTGAACACCTTTACATGTATTAGCCAGTGTTGGGTTGAACTTGAGTGGTAATGAGGGCCAAGTGTTTAAAGGTTAATGGGAGATTCGCAGATACATGTACATGTAGGATAAAACTGTCGGTTTGAGTTGATTTCAAATCATAGGATAGGAAGGGAGAATCCGTTCCTGTATGTTCAATTGCAATCAAAGTATGTTATTAAATGATCAACAAGCATACACTATAATAAGTAAATGTTGTGGCCGCTTGCGTAAATGTTAGTCCATTTTCTTCACTTACAAATAGTTAATGTTAGAAGATTCGTTTGTATACAAGTGTTCATATACCCCCCCCCCCCCATCCAAAACAAACAGATAGAGAGAGAGAGAGAGGGGGGGGGGGTGGTGAGAGAAATAGTTTCATAGTAAGATAATGAGAGAGAATGATGAGTACACTGACAAGAGCGTCACAGAGAGAACGACAGAGAGAGTGAGAAAGGGAGAGAGAGAGGGGGGGGGGGTGAGTAAAAGGTAATAGTAGGCCTACCGGTGGAAGATGATAATACGTGTGTGTGAGAGTAAAAAAAAAAAGGGGGGGGGGTGAGTTACAGGAATTACTAGAGGAGGATGATGTGTGTGAGAAAGAGAGATGACTGAAGATGATGATGAGAGAGAGGGGGGGGGGGGGGGGGGGGGGGAGGAGGATAGGAAACGCGTGAGGGCCGACGCGACGTGGCCTCTCGCCCGAAAATATGCTATCCCGATCCGAAATGTCTTGAGCGAGCGAAACAATAGTATGGATGAATTAAGTCATCAATATACACTAGATTTAAAAAAAAATTATATTCGGTCATCTCGTTGCCTAAAATCATCCTGATGTATCAATTTTGCAAGAAGTGAAGCGAACGATAAGAAAGGTCTCTTTGTTGTGGTATAAATTTCATTTCGATAAAAAAAATAAAAATAAGTAAGGTTATATTTGGGCGCCATGCTTCGAATCATGACGACAACCGGTCAGCCAGGTGCCCGAATATCGTCATATCATCATATGGGGATATTCATGGACTGAAACTATCCCGTTTTTTAAATTTTCGAGCATCGAAGCGAGTGAAGAAAAAGACATAGGCCTATACTATTTATAAAATGTTATTTCTTCAGCAAAATAGCCAAAGTGATATATTTTGAGGCACTGCCGGTTTCTTTAAATGTCCGAGGTTTACAGACCTTTAAATTGCTTTTTTTAAACGTTTGACCTCGTATCTCAGCTCAGTAAAACGTGTGGTCAATTTCTGCAGTCTGGACCCCGTCTTACAAAGAGGCGGTTGGTCCAAATCAATTGCAAGTTTGCAATCTCCTATATCTTTCGTACATATTTGCGATTGATATCAACTCAGGGCCCTGTGGATGCGTCTTATTTGTGGTTGGCAACAGATGGCGCTATTACCAAAGTAGTCATATGAGCAGTTGAGTTGGCAGAAAGGGGCGGAACGAACTTTCTGAACACGATATATCTCTAATCACCTCTTCTTCCAGTCATAGACAATCGACCACCCTGTCAAAATTCCACCATACACCCCTCACCTTGACGTCATAATGTACTGTACTTAGGAGCACTCTTATCCCTCACCCCATCTCTCTCTCTCTCTTTCTCTTTCTCTTTCTCCTCTCTTTCTCTCTTCTCTCTGTTTCTTCCTGGAGAGTCTAAAAGTGAAAATGAAAATAATTTACGCATCACGGTCGTGTACGCAACATACAAAGCAATTGCACAAAATGTTATTTGATAAGATTTATTTAATAAAATAGTTGTCTTCATCATATTTTCATTGCTGGGACATTACTCTCTAAAATACAAAAAAATAAAATAAAAGATGGAGTTAAAGAAAAAGAATGGGCAGTCACTTTCTTTTCCAGAAACCAGGCAGAAGAAAACAAAAACTAAAACAACTAATTTTAACGAAGAACCTTTATTTTACTTTCAAACATGAACAATTATTTTGGCATATCGTATATGTAAGCCAAAACTTGGATATTAAAAAAAAAGTGAATACCAAATGCCTCGATTACATTTAAAGCAAAAGAAGGGTCGCACATGTAAATTATCGTTAAGAATTTTAAAGGAATAGGCTTAATAATGATAACAATGCGGAAAATAAAATCCCCTACAGAAACTAGTCTTATATCGGAGGAGATGAGATAATCACGAAACACTCCTTTAAAGGCCCACTGCACTACTTGTAGCTACTTGCGCCCTCTATATAACAACCAATGCCTAATCGGTGACCATTGGTCCCCCATGATCCTCTTTTTCTTATGTTAACTGAGAGCTGAGTTGATGAGATAACCACCTGTCCAGTGACCTTGCAGAGCGCTCTAATCCCTCCTGTAAACTATGGCAGATAAGCTTTAAAGGGATCGTTTAACAATGTTAAATCTGAGATACACGGCCCTACGTGTTAACAGTGTCTGTGATATGGTGTAATATTGAAGCTCTAAAAAAATTGCGCTTCAAAATGATTAAGAAGTGCCTCAAAAAAGTAAAAATCTTTGAGTGACCGGTTTTACCATACTCGTTTTCCCCAATAGACTGTAGTGTTATGAAAACCGTCAGGCGAACGGTTTTCAAAATTTGTAATTCCAATCATAAATATCAAGATAATCAGACAGGCGATCGGCTTGTAAAAGTCATGGGGTTCCTGACTGATCTAAAGGTTTATAATTATCAATGCATCATGAGCTAAATCCAGAATTTTTTGTCAGAATCTGAGACAAAGTTACCGGATCCCTTTAATATTTTGGCTTTGAGTTCATTGCCATTCTTCTAGGGATATTTAAAAGTTACAGGTAATTGTTGACTGAATAGAGCAAGCTAATGATTAATTTACATAATGGCTACGGAAAAAAGTAGACATAAAGTCTACAGTTTTGTTATAAAGTCTGTCTTGATCGAGCACTGGGGGTAGAGGGGGAGAGTTTCTTGCTGGGCGTGGCAGTGGAGAGGGATGTGGTACTTGGTGTATGGATGCAATTCGAATCTTGACCCTGCTCTTGGTGGTAGAAATACTCGGCTTTGCCAACCAGATGCCACAATGTACTCAGATTAACCTAGTTCATGTAGATGGGGTGAGGGGAGAGAGAGAGAGAGCCATACATAGAGTAAAAGAGATATAGAGAGACATACACAGTGAGATCCAAAAAAAAAGAGTAAGAGGGAGAAACAATAGATAACAAGAAGAGATGAGGAGAGTAGGGGAGAGAGATAGAGTGAGAGAGAGAGAGAGAGAGAGAGAGAGAGAGTGAAAGGAGGCGTGGGATTAATAACGATATGATATGAAAACAAAAAACAATACAATAGAAGAATTTAAAAGTATTTCTTTATTTTAATATATCTGGAAAAGGTTCGGTCTTGTTCGTTTAAGATACAGGAAACAAATACCACTAGTCAAATATATTTGTGCTGAAGCTATCATTTTTAATGTGATTTCAATTCTAAGGTATATAAGTGGGCGTTGTTAAGGATTGTGGAGAGGGACGGGGGGGGGGGGGGAGGGGGCATGGGAGCTGTGGGGATGAAACACCCAAAATAGAAGCGAATCTTCTGTTGAAAAGATGTAATGACTCTTTACCTAATACCCCTCCCTTGTCCAAATTAAATAACGACGCGCAGAAGAATTGCCGGCTATGACAGCAAGCCTTCATGGTAGAGGGCTGTTTCACCACTGAGGTGTGAAATAGGTCCCCCCCCCCCCCCCCGAAAAAAAGAAAAAAAAAAGAAGAAAATTTATGAAAAAAAATGGATAATATATATATATATATATATATATATATATATATATATATATATATATATATGTGTGTAACATTAAATTACAAAAATGAAGTGTAGATCCCTTTTTATTCTTCAAATGGTTTAACTCACCCTGAAGTAGCCACTGAATGGATGATCGAGATCACCAATGACGTAGCAAAGCAAACTAATTGAGAAGACTGTTATGATACACATCATGAGGTCCATTTGACTTGACTCCGTCTATAAAAGAAAATATTGAAAAAGGGGAGTCGAAGATAGTAATCATAACTTACAAATAGTGATCTACAGAGCATGGATCTGAACATTATCATGATTTCGGTGGTGGACATTCAACACATAGAAATGGTATTGTGAAGTCGACATGCGTCCGTCCCGTATGAAGGCCCCCACCCGGGCCCCCATAAAATGTTGGGAAACAATAATGATAATCACACAGCATGGGCTGAATTATAGCAGTGGCGTATCCCGCATAGGGTGAAATCGGTGCATACAGTATAGGCCCCTTGCTTTCACTTATTGAGTAAGGTGGATCTCCTACGCGATATAAATGACTTCTTCAATGCCTGGACGCATCTATGCCACTCTCAGATTAGCACACATTATTAATGGCGTCACCTGTGCCTTAGGGGGCGAAAAGCGAACTGTATCTCTGTAACTAATGGGGTCCTGAAATTGGACCTCCATTAAAAATCCTATCCGAGGGACCGGTGTTTAACACGGCAATATAGCCCCTGTGTGTCTATGGAACGGGGGTAGGGGGGGGGGGGGGTACGTTAATACACAATACAGGCTTCATCCATCCGCCTGGGTTGGGTTCGAACCTACGAACTTTGCTTCGACAGAAAGACGTTTTACCGATTAAGCCAACTTCCATCCTTCATCTGAGGAGGATTCTACCCCTGCTTATCTATTTCAAGACCTGTCACTAATGAGAGAGAGAGAGAGAAAAAAAATAGAGGGAGGGAGAGAGAGAGAGAGAGAGAGAGAGAGAGAGAGAGAGAGAGAGAGAGAGAGAAAAAAAAATAGAGGGGGAGAGAGAGAGAGAGAGAGAGAGAGAGAGATCTTACCACAATAAGCATGACGCCGAAGTAAGAGAAGAATCCCAGCACCTCTAAGAACGTCCAAAGTAGAGGGTGTACCGTATAGTGTAGGGCCATGTTACGCTGTGTCGAACAGGTCGCCAACTCTTGAAGATTACTTATAATTTTCTCCTGCGAAAGAAAAATATGAACATTTTATGAAAATTAGATACGAAATCCAATAATTCCATTATCTAAATGCGTGCAGGCTATAATTATCTATGCTTTCATTTGAATGAACACTATACCTATCCTACTTTCATCAACCATGACAAAGATAACCAGTTGCATTTTTTTTTAGGTCTTGCTTAGGTGATGTAGTCATTATTCGCAAAGAAAAAAAGTTAACAAGATAGGCTAATATTTCTAACCTACGTTATTCTCTAACCTTCCAATTTACAGTTCAGTTAATGAAAAATCGGTTGGATACCAGTATTACAATATATAGAGGAGAAGCTAATTTGTGAAGTTCATGTTTTCATGCGAACAACTTTTTTTTTCTTAATGAACGAATGAAAGAGAGAGAGAGAGAGAGGGGGGGGGGGAGAGAGAGAGAGAGAGAAAGAGAGAGAGAGTAGAGGGAGAGGGGTAAATGGGGTGGGTGGGCTGGTAATGGGTGAACATGGGTAGAGACTTACGACGATGGTAGTATCACAGAGGTCTCTATCTGTGTCATCTTTCTGCAAGACATGGACGACGTCCCATATCTGACCGGCAGAGTAGTCATGGTGGTAGTCCTTGGAGCTCACACCCCGTCGACCGGTAATCTGCTGCATGATAGAAATGATCTCTGTCTTCACCAACCTGTAGATCTGGGAAGACGAGCAATTTGAATCGAGAAACAAAAATATGAATGATATCCAAGAAATCGAATTATATCATTTCATTGCTTCCTTTCATTTATTTTCATATTTCTCATGTTACATATACATTTCAAAATAAAGTACAGGTTGTTTTTTGCGTGATAAGATAACAATCAATAATACATAATAAATAACATAAGGATAAGTGGTCAATAGAGAGTATTGATTTAAATGAGAGAAATATAAAGGGACCTACATGAAAGCAAGCTTGTAAAGCTGAAGGCCCCGGTGAAATAGCTTGTGGTAAGGGATGGAGGACGGATATAAATAGTGACCAATCCAAATAAATAACAAAATAAAAAAGGGAGAGAATAAAGAAACATGCTGGGGTGGTGCTGTTTATATTGTCACTCCCTTTCTTAAAATGTAGACATAAGTATATGCCATTCTGCTACTCTGAGTTCCCGGTAGCTTTTATGATGTGACCCGGTTACTCAGGTCAAACTTGGACCTTCACTCTATTAATTTAATTGTAAAATCACCAATTAAAATGGCCGAGGAGTGATCACTTTTTCACGTTTTCAGATTGATGTTTTTAACATGCTAGAATCTACCTTTATAGCTTTGACTCCAGTAGGTTGAAAGTTTTCATTTACCATTTCGAAGGGGGAAAGGTGATCAACATTTGTGTTGCCTTGCGGTTAGTGTTCTTAACAAATCAAGGGCTATTCATTGTATCTTCTTTAAGTGCACGAAAAAAATCACATAACATTTTTGTGATGACATCACCTACCTGATATGACACATTATGTTAGCTTTGATTAATATTCCTTTTATAAACTAAATATAAATAGGTACGTGGCAGATTACGAAAGTGCTTTGCTGGGTTAACGTAAAATGACCAACTGCCAGTCTTTGGGAAATGTTAGTATCCAGAAAAAAAATGTTAAAGAAAAAAAAATGGATTAACTTTGCTTACTTTGAGTCTATCTTCTGTTGTCAGTGACGTCATCCTTGACGTCATTGCGAGAATCTGATCGAGGAATCCTACTTCGGTGGAGACTGTGGTTGTGATACCGCGTTGCTTGTCCAATACGGATTGAAAAGTAAAACCGAATGTGACTCTTTATTTAAAGAGCGAGAAAGAAAAGAAAATAAATAAATATATAACAATCCATAGGAAAACTATAGTAATAATTTCTCATGAAAACTCGATTTCCAAACACACAAGAACATCGACTAATTGCCAGCTCATTATATCTCATTCCTCTAAATTATCATTTTCAATAGGAACAACAAAACAAAACAAAATCAGTCGGACTATATTATATTTCTTGCCTAAGAAGGTTTAGGTGAAATGAGAACCTATCGAATATAAACTTTGCTCACATCTGGTTTTGAAGGGAGCTCTTTTATTATTCTCAATCCATTCAGAATTTAAAAAAACAGTAAACATATCTGGAAAGGTTTTAAGATTCTACATCGGACATGTAAGCTTACTGTGAAAGAATTGTTGTCTTCGATCAGAAACATCTACTTTTAAATACTTTCTGATACACTGTAAAATAATGTCAACACTTACGCATATACAAGCCCAGCTGGTGCCATGAAGCAGGCTGGAAAATAAGAAAGGTGAGTCATCAGCCATCATCTTTAATTCCATTATTATGTAAGCGAATAAATCTAAACACTAGACATCGTTGATACTACTGATATACCTTAGGCTTTTTCACATTTCTGTAGTCAAAGAGTGTTATTTTGACTTGCTATCCAGATAGCAAATTCGGCCTACTGCATGCACTACATGCTTGTCAGAAAGATACACGGACCCCAAAACTGAAATTCACATAAAAATTAATGAGGACGAGCATTATAATACTAGTCTACTACTAGTACTACTACTACTACTACTATTACTACTACTACTACTACTACTACTACTACTACTACTACTACTACTACTACTACTATTACTACTTCTACTACTATTAATAATGATAATAATAATAATAATAATAATAATAATATTCATCATAATAATAATGTTAACGTTTCAATGCGCTTCAAAATTATTTTGGATATTAGTACCTCGGCTTAAGCTAACGTATTATCAATAACGCTTATCAGAAATCTATAACAACTTTGTTCTCAGACAATCAAATACAAGGATTTTTGTGGCTTATAACAGTTATTGTAACTTTTTGTTGATAATATAACAAGTTGTATGGAGCATGACCAAGGTATACAATGTATACCTGGGTCGAGCGTGGCAAAAGTAGATTTATGTCTTGCCAAAGGACGTTAGTGCTGCGGCGTGGATCCGAACCCGACACCTTGTGCTTCACAGTACTTTTACCAACTGGCGCTGATTTAAACACGTTGTAACCAGTTCTTTTTGGGCCAGACCTCTCTGATATCACGTTCCTCACTTCAGCACTTGCAGATTAAGGGGATGGGATTAGACATGGGGTACAGCCGACATATATCCCCACCCTTCTAAAACCTAAGTGGCATATACCTTCAGTACACAAGCCCTTTCCCAATGTTTGACCGACAATGGGATAACTATTTTTTTTCTTGCTAACTTGTGAGAAAATTTTGAGTTTTGAATTGTACCGCACTTTTTTTTTCAATAATAAATTTCAAGATCCGCCTCTGACTTACCCACACCATCATTGATATTGGGTAGACCATTGGGCCAGAAGGCGGCTATCAGAGGGGCTCTAAGTAGGAGTAGACAGGGGCCGATAGATAGAGAGATGATGGCTGGCAAGGTGATGAGAAACAAAGACAGGGGTCTGTTGTAATGTCGTCTTAGTGCCTCCATCGATTCGACTTCTCCGGAGGTTAAAACTGTCAGGAGAAAAAGCGAGTGTTACGATAACGAATATAAGTTTCAAAATCTAATTAACCTCACAAGAAAAAAGGAAAAAGAAAAAGAAAGAGAAAGGGAAGAAGAAGAGAATAATAATAATGATAATAATGATGATGATGATAATGATGATAACAAGAATATTGCTACTACTGATACTGCTTATATTGCTAATAGTGATAATAATAATAATAATAATAATAATAATAAGATGATGATGAAGAAGAAGAAACCAACGAAGAAAGAGAAAAATAAAGAGATGATGACGGTGGAGGTGATGATGAGGATGAAAAAGAAGAAGGAGAAGAAGCAAAATAGAAGAAGGAGATGATGTAGAAAGAAGAAGAAAAGGAATTGGAAAAAAAAGGAAAGAGAAAATTAATTTAAAAAAAATGGAAGAAGATAATGAATACAAAAAATGTCGGACACTGGTGGCATATTTTTTCCTATTCATACATGTATTTGTGTTTTCACACCGATTACGATTATTACAATTCATTATCAAAGTTAATATGGATTGAATATGCAACGTAGATACTTTGATGGGCACAACATTTCTGCCAACCTAATATCTATATGCACATCTCTTTAATATGATATCGAATTTACGGGTGTAGAATTTTGTCCTTCTTGTGTATTGCGTGGGATGCCATGGTTTCGGCATACTTCTGTCAGTTAAATACAAACATTCTAGTCACATGAATTAAAGTGTTTGAGTGTTAATGCCCTACTTTCAATTATTCAATTACAACTTTTGCTTTTCTTTTGTTGATTCTTCAGTATAGTTGTTTGACACATATTACTATATTCATTCATTTTATTCCGCGTCAAGATAAAAACATTATTATATAACATTGGAAATACAAATATATATATAATGAAATATCTAAATTGGGAGGATTATGAAAAGCATACAAATGGCTTGTTGAAAATGATTCTCATATCGTTGCCGAAGAGGTCAATCATGCTGGGCAGCCATTTTTAATCGTGAGGTCATCATGGATATTATAATGTTGGTAAATTCTGCCATACGAAATGGATAACAGCATGAATATTCTGCCATATTACGCAATTTTTTATTCAACCTTCAACAATGTTACCGAGTCAAAATACCACCACTGAATATTTGGCATCGGAAAAGAGACGCAGACACGGGATTGATAAAAACAGGAGACTTAAAGAAATCTATTTGTGTCATTCTCCGTATTCTCAATGAATATTATTATTGTTATCATGTTTTTAATTACAATCAACATTTTTATTTTCATCATTATTATTATCATCATTATTCTGATAATTATTTGTTGTAATAATCACTATTATTGTTATTGTTATTATTGTTATTATCAATGTTATCGTTAATATTTTCATTATTTGTATTATCATTATTTTTGTTATTGTTGTTATTATAATTATCATAATCATATATCATTATTATTATCATTATCATTATTTTATAAAAATCATATACTCACAATTATCCGGTTGCTCGCCGCATTGAGATTCGGTCATAGACCCAAGTAGAATAACCTCAACTTTGTCAGCACTATTGCTTCGGAATTGTGGCCTTTTCGCTCTCCTCTTCCAACACGTTGTAAACATGAGTATCATCATCCCTTAAACACGATTAACAGAATGAAGTAGTGCGTTACATTTCTTTGATGGAAGAAATCTCAGGATGATGAATAATAAAGATGCTTAGGGATATTGATCATCGTGCAATTCCAAAATAAATATATAAACAAACTGAAATATTAAATGAATAATGAATATAACATTTAAAAGGTCGGAACTGGTTTCAGAGTTTAGCATGACTATCCCATATTAGCGTAATTCTACATCTCTTTACCATGTTAGGGAGAATTACTGTTTATTAAATCATCATGAAGAATTAATGTTAGAATGTGTCAAGAATACAATCAATACAGCCTTCAGGAAACTTTACATTTCTCCAAACATGCAGGTCCTGCTCCTCCACCCCACCCATTCTCCTCTACGTCCTCTTTGTACCATCACAATAACCACCTCTGTATATATACTTCTACCACTATACTACTACTACTACTACTACTACTACTACTACTACTACTACTACTACTACTACAAATAATAACAGGTGATGATGATAATAATTATAATAAATTAAAGGTGATAATAATAATAATCATAATAATAATAATAAAAACCGTAACAACCACAACAATAAGAACCATTATAACAATGATAGTAATATTATAACAATAAATATTCTATGATGATGATGATTAACATGATGATGATGATAATGATGATGATTATGATGGTTGTTATTGTTATTATGATTGTTATAATTAGCAGTAGTAAAAGTAGTAGTAGTAGTAGTAGTAGTAGTAGTAGTAGTAGTAGTAGTAGTAGTAGTGGTATACAGTGATGGTGTTGGTGGTAATAGAAGTGTATCATTGTTGTTGTGTTTTTTAAAAACCATCATCATTACTAATATTACGATAATGATAATAATGCCCCGATAATTAATATTATGCTTCTGAAGAAAATAGTCACCAAATAATAACAAGCCGATCAATGCGAAGGGAGGAACCATCATTTCAGTGAGAGTCACACCATCCTGAGATGACATCCCTGGTGAATGTTCGGGCTCCGACTCCGGCTCTGGCTCGGCCTCGGGCGTGGTTTCTGGTTCGGGCTCCGGTCCCATGTTTTAAAATATGGTAGAAAATTTCTCTCAAAACGGAATGGCAGCGGCTCAGTGAAGATATTTCACCTGTAATGGAACTCGTGATTTATTCTGTTGAAGTCGTTGAAAGGATTCCTATTGGGAAAAATCACATTCAGAATCTAATTAAAGATCTTATTAAACATGTAAAACCTCTAAAAAAAAAATGGCTTAATTGACAGGTAAAAATGTATCACTTCCCACGTCGTATCTTTACAGTACTGAGTAGTAGGACAGCTTAGTGTGCTTTTGAAAGAAAATAGAAAGGCGTGAAGAAGGGGAAGAAGAAGAAGAGAGAGGGTAACTATTAGTATTACGAGGGGAAAATAGAGAGGGGAAAGAGAGAGAAAGAAAGAGAGAAAGATTGGATAGATTGTATTAGGAGAGTGAGTGAGTGAGAGAGAGAGAGAGAGAGAGAGAGAGAAAGCGTAACTATTAGTATTACGAGAGGAAAATAGAGAGGGGAAAGAGAGAGAAAGAAAGAGAGAAAGATTAGATAGATTGTATTAGGAGAGAGAGAGAGAGAGAGAGGGTAGAGTAGGGGGGGGGGTAGTCTATACGGTGACACGACATTTGCTCCTGCGACAATTGCTCCGGGCTTTATTTCGTCTAAGATGTAGGGTTAGGGTTAGGGTTTCAATAGGGTTTTATGTTAGGTTTAGGGTTAGGTTTAGGGTAGGGTATAGTGTTGAATCCAGGGTTGAAGTTAGCCATTCGATTAGTGTATGAAATTTACAGCGGAGCAATTGTCGCCGGAGCAAATGTCATGGATTCGTCTATACATCGCCGAGGAGAGAGGGGGATGTAAGGAAGAAGGAAAAGCAGTAAGCTGCAGTATTACGTACGAATGCATGCTATATGTCCTAACAAGCAACCCTCTTTCCAAATGAAGAAAAAGAAAACACACACAGAGGAACGCAATACCATTCAAAGTTTGAAATTCAAAATGAATGCATTAATTAGAGATAATCACTGGTCATAGTCTACATAGCAATGTTCAATATTCAATCTATGGACATACAATATTTGCTAAATTCGATGTCGGACCCCATGGAAGAACAGGCGTATTTTGTTAATACGCCTGAAATGGGCTATCCGCCGTATATCTCATTTATGTATGTATTTGTATGTTGTGATGATTTTATACGGAAATAAAAACAAACAAACAAACAAACATGTTGGGATGGAAGATTCTTTGAGGACAATTAGACCTGTGGAAGAAGAACAAGAAATCAGAGCAGTCTATACAAACGTGTCTAAAATTCAAATGTGATAGCGCCTTCCAACAGTAGTATCATGACCGAATAATATTGTTCATTCTAACATTATAACCCGCAGGCCTAATCTGAAATATATCTGGTATACAGAAGAGAATTACCAAAACGGATACAAGCGATTATGAGTCAATTATTAAAGCCTATTAAAATGACCTACATAATAATGAACTCTAATTGTCCAATCAATCGTCAAGACGATTCTGTACATCAGGCAGAGTGAGTGACCTATATTACTCCGTGATTGGTTGTTAAAACTGTCAAAATAAGCAAGGGCGGATCCAGGATTTTGTAAAAGAATCCAAACGCCACTCCAGCGTTGAGATAATGTGTAAACAGCAAACTTCCTTGAATATGGTTGCTTGTCAACGTTAATAGGAGGTGCCACAAAAGAGCAACAGAGGAGTCTGAGCCAAAAACTGACAGTCATAATTAGTGAATTGATGATGATAAAGTGAGCAAGAGGCCCAGCTGTCACCGTCATTATTGTCGAGTGAAAGTTGATATTGAAAAGTGGTTAGCGTGAAGTATGAGTTCTGTATTCACACATCGCTAAGCAACGAAAAAACGCAAAAAAATATTCCTAGAAAAATATTTTGTCATGCAGTGTGTGTAGCCTGAATCACTGTTCTATATGCCATATTTGTTTTGATAATACAAATAATAAATTATATTTCTAAATAATAGAAGCGTTTTAAATCAATTTGCCAAAACAATCAAATGTATCTTAAAGTATAAAGGATATTAACGACTTATAAATCAAATTTAAACAGGAAGAAGTAAGCAATGTCAGGAACAAAACAAATTAGTAATATGCAATGAGAAAGAAAATGAATTGTAATACATACTAAAACTATAATATAAAGACAAAAACGTAGTGAAAAAAATCGATGAGGCATAGATAAATTAACAATATAATATGAATCGCATAATATGAAGTTGTCTTCAAGGTAATTACACAGAACAATTTATCAGAGAACAGTGTAGTTCTCATTTCATCGAATTCAGGAAATAATAATTTTGTTCCATGTATTTTTAGTTTTTAGTAAATTATAGTAAATTGAATCAAGGTCACATCAGGCTTACTTTTTTCCGACATGATCGTAACATTAAATATTCCAACAATATCCACCATGGGAGATGGGAGAGTGGGGGTATAATGTCCTGCCCCCTTTTGGCAAAGATATATTCAGGAAAACCTCATAAACGATACAACCTTGTCCCTGTTGCATTAAAATTTTTATCAATAACAAGTTACAATAACTGTTATTAGCTACTGAAATCGTGGCATTTGATTGGCTAAGAGCAAATTTGTACATAGAAATGTAGTATTTCTCTCCCCTTTCCTTTTCTTCTCTGCAAGTCACTCTTTTTCATTATTATTTGTATCGTTGTATCTAAGTTGAGGGCTGCGGGCAGGTCATGATCGATCAAGCTACTTTGCTTATTTTTGTAGCCCTCCTGCATCTTATGTATGTTAATTATGCATTCAATATATTTGTTTAAATTCAATATATTTGTTTAATATCGTTTATTATCTGTATAAAATTATATACACTTGAAATATTGTATCAAGCCATATTATGTTCATGAAAATGTATGATGAAAAAAAGGAAAAAAGATGCAGAAACCAATAAATCAAATCAAATCAAATCAAATCAATTTGTCATTGATAACAAGTTTATGAAACAGGGCCCAGTGATTGTTTAAAATAGTCGTTATGTGGAGTAATAAAGGGACACCGCAAGTTGGTCAACGAAAGTAAACGTTTCCTTTACCGGGGGTAATAATCCAGGGGTGATTTTCAGGGGATAATACACCAGTTTACAGTTGTGTGCGCCATTTTAAACAAAGCCAATGACCTAGAGGTCATGTATTTATACGTAAATTAGGATTGCGCCCATGCAAATGTTGATAATATCACTGCCCTACGCGCTGCGTTGTGCGCGCACATCATCATTTGCATGGGCGCAATCTTAATTTACGCATAAATACCAGAGGTCAGAGGTTATTGGCCCCGTTCCGGGGCCAATGACCCGGGGTCAACTGTCTGCGCATGCGCACTGATACAACTGTAAACTGGTGTATTGTCCTGGTACGGCCCTTCCTCTACGGCCCCTGTCTCGGGGACGCTGTAGAGGCCTATAATCTGTAGGGGCCGGCTTAGTATGTCTCGGCCTGTAAATATTACACGAGCTTCTTTATCATAATACTATTTAACCCGTTGTATCACCTCTTGAGTTCGGCGCAAACGTTAAACTTTAGCTTCTTGAATATAACAACAAATATTTGTAAAGCACTTCTAGATCTATGTAAGCATAGCTGATACTGACATAATCAAATCTCCAGTGATTTTATAAAATCTCCATCGAATCATTTCTGATCAATGGATTTGGAGAGGAAAACGGATTACTATGACCTACTGTACATTATCCTTTCAGAAGTTCATCAATGTAGTAAAACACCAATTTGATATAGTAACAAAGAAAATCTTTTTTCGACAAAATCTATATAAGCTTGATTGACCAAAACTTACTGATTTATAAAGAATAATAACAGTATTCCTTTCCCGATTGTTCTTGAAAACAGACAAAAATATAAAAATTGCGAACATACTGTATACAAAACCACAAAGCACCCAAAGATCTTGCGTTGTGGATCGCGAAAACATGCACTGTATCTAGATGGTTTAGCATAACACTTATAACAGCTTACCCAGTATAATAAGTCAGCTATGACGAACAAAATCAGATCCTTGTAGTTGCGAGCTTCAACCGTTTCTATTTAAAAGGGAAATTTCAGTAAATGTTTGTAATCCTAGCTGTAATATGAGACACTCTCGTGTACTGTACGTCACCGCTACTATATTGTACTGACTTTGGAATAACCACTCTGTGGAATAAGTAAGGGTGGTCTAGCTCGGTCGGCGCAGTCATGGCTCACGCGGATGTATAGAACGGTTGCGTGCAATTAATGTTGATGATAAATAATTCTCTAATAAAGGGCGCCTATTTTGTCCTTTACTTGAGACAACTTTTCCTGATATTACGTCATGTATCATTTTGAAACAAAAGAACACTTTATGAAAGAGAGAATCATACACTACCGGGTCTTTTATAATTAGATGTTTCAAACTTTCTTTTATGACTTCCAAATCTTCTTTTTTATTCCGTTCTTTTTTACTGAAACGTTTGCGCGTTATTTTCTTCTTCTTGCAATGTTCATCATTTTATCTTGTTCTGCATTAGATTGCTTTATCCCCTTCTTAATTAATGCGAATGTAAGAATACCAAGAACTATATGAAGAGGAGAGAGAGAGAGAGAGAGAGAGCGAGGTAGAGTGTGTGGGGGGGGGGGGATAGTCTATAAATGGCCGAGGAGTGACTATTTCTTTTCTCAAAATGCCAAATTATTACTTTCAACATGCTACAAAGGTTCGAAATGTTTATAAAAATTGACAACAAATAGTAAATCCTCATCTTTTTTTCTCCCTATAGGACGGAGGAACTGCATAGCTTTCTTGGGTTTGTGTGACGTCGATGAAACCATGATGAAACTAGTAAAACAAAAAGTGTCAAATGCTACTGATTAATGCAAAGATTGACGTTACGAGGGAAGTACAGGGGCTGTGATTCAGTGTATGCTTACTCCTAAATACTGCTTATATAATAGCGTCGATTCCTCTGTTTTAGAGTACTCGCGGGCACTATAGATTACGTTCTGGCATGACACATTACTATTAGGCCAAGGTCTACGCCCCGTGGTTAACAACCACGTCAGCTTCTAAGTTAATCCCACGTAAGGATGTCCCTAATCATGGTTCACAATAAACAGACAAATTAACTAAACAGTAGTTCAACATGCGAATATGGATGAAGGAAACGTAAGATGACAAGGCACGCAACTGACATCGATTGCAGTAATTCAGGATATTGTTTTCCAAGCCAGAAAGTTTTAGGCTGAGCCAACATCTTACCAGAGATAGAAAGCATACAGATATAGTGTATTATAACAGACTAGAATATATATAATAATGAAAACACGGGCCCTGGCTACAATAACAAGTAAAACTAAATAAGAAATGCTCACTAAAACTATAAATGGGCTTTAAAATAACTCTTTCTGATTATTCATATTGGCTGCATATTATGTAATACATAAACGAACTGTTAATGGAATTGATGTTTTCTCGTAAAACTATATGTACGTTTTAGAAAAGAAATAAATGAACTAAACTGAATCAAAATCGGTAATGTTTAGAACATGGGAGAAGGGAACGAAGACCCAAACCATTATGTTTCTATCATCGGAAAACAAACAAGCAAACAAAATGATGGAGGAAGCGTCAGTTTTTTTGTTGTTGAAAAAAAACAAATGTTTATTCTTAACACATTACAAAAGACGTGAGGAGATTATTACTTTGTTAGGTAATGAAATTGAAAGACAATGGAGCAACGTTTCAAAAGGTGCAAATCACATGACTAATATCTTAAGCTGTAAACTCTGTATTGAACATTAATATCATATGCATCTTAAAACAAAGGCGCCTCAAAAGATAATACAGTAAATTTTCATTCTTGAAGGCATTCAAACAGTCCAGTCCGAGTAACAAAATACTAGTATAAACATGAAGAAAATCATTTGGACGTACCATTGCCATTCTTGTAATTTAGCGTTTACTCTTGAACCTGTGTCAAAAAGTGCATTGGACAAATTTCCCCTTTCTTTGAAAAATAATTGCATGATTACTCACGTAAAATAGCTAATATAAATAGTTATGGTTTCCGCTAATTTTCATTTATTTCATTTGATTTCGACAAAGGAACTTTTCAGAAATATTACCACGACACTTGCATAAATAAACTCACAACGAACACATGATAACTAGAGAGTATTCTAAATACCATGGTCCGTATTATAGTCAATTTAAACAAGGTCTAGTATAGTGCATGTTTACTTTCCATTCTCTTCAACATGCTTTTATCCCTCATGATGGTTTTCACTGAATTTGAAGAATACGGCACTTTGGGGGTAAATTATTTCAAATATACATATAAATAATGTTAATGCCTATGTCATGATGATTTCATGAGCTACAAGACAGCAATACAAGACATTCATACAAATGCGTTTGTGGATGTGTAGGTGTGGGTGAGTTGAACCTCCTATAGCACCGTGGGAACTGCATCTTTATAAAACAATAAGTGTGATGTGACGGTGAGAGACAAACCAAATCAATAACGTCAATAAAAAAATATTGGCACGTGAATAAATACCGTTCTTGTGGGCCATTACTTTGAACTCGGGTTAAAATTGACAAAGTAAGAAAAGGAGAGTAAAAGCGGATATAATTTTAATAAATGAATACAATTAGAAGATAAGTAGAAATCAACATGAATAAATAAATAAGATAAAATCATCCAAATTACCGATGAACATTTTTTATTTCCATACAAATGGAAACCATTGAAAAATTGTCTTAATTCATTTAAACTGATAGCAATTTCAATCATTTATCTACGACTTAGGATATTTCAGAAAGTATTCTATGAATATACTTCAAAATCAAACGTCCAGTACTATTTCTTTAATTTGTTAGTTACATTTGTCAAATAATCTTAACATTTCAAAATTGTTTCAAATCTCTCGTGTAGATTAAAGATGCAGACATTAAATCTAACAAAGGTGTTAGATACATGATCTACAGATCTAACCCTCCTTTCATATTCAACCCGAGTTCCGAATACGGCTATCGTGCAAATTTTGTTATTAACCAAACCTCCGTGTGATTTTGTGTTTTTGTGTAATTTGTGAACTCTTCAATATCGTGATAATGTGTGGTGGTCAAACAAATGAAATATGCAAAACACAAAATAATACATGGAACAGAGATACGAAAAAAAACCGGGTTACGTTATAGATATTGAAAATTACACATGTCCTGAGAGAAAAAAAAATGACATAATTATAGCTCTGTCGTAACTGTTCAAAATGTGCTGTCCGATTCCTGAATAATGTCTAGGACTCTGGGCCCCATCACACTTCTTAATCTTGATGTAATAGTTCCTGACCTCTCATGGAAGCATTCAATTAACTCATAACATTCCATTTCGTAGTGACCCTTACACATTATCGGCATGAGTGTCCTGGAGAATATATATGTATGCATTAGTCAGCTATGACAATTCCTAGCCGGACAGCTAACATCTGGGTGATTGTCCCACCCTGGCAATTGCCTAACTTGGGTAGTAAAATTTCCGGACAACAACAAATTTGACACAATCGTCGAGAGAGAGAATCATTATATAGACGACTAATACCAGGACAATGGTTGTCCTTTTATGACAATACCTCATAGACATATTGTCTTTAGTCATAAACATCCTTTAAAATATAAACTAGACGATACCCCCACGGAGAGACGATTACTACACGAATACCCCGGACGATTGCAGTTACTACAAGACACTTATCTTTCCGGAACTATCACCCTTCTGGTACGATATTTCTTTAAACAAAACATTATCACTGTGATTGGTGATTGCCCTATGATTTAATTGTACGATGTATTTGCCAAGGCTGCACATGTCCGGGAAGATAACTTCTGGGATCAGTCGACCTAAAATCTCATTCCACTTTTCACAATGACTCTTGCAATATGATGAGATTATATTAAGTATATCTACCTTCTACGTTTAAAAAAGCATCACATGCATACAAATAGATCTTTGAACTGAAGCAGACGATATCTTATGTGAAAATATTTCAATATAGCCTTAACATAAAAAAACACAAAATCATTGTATTCAGTTGCAATATCAAAATCGTAAAAGAAAAAGGCAAACATTAATATATGAGATATATAACTAAATAACTGATTGCTATCGACAGACAAAAAAAAATATTTATACATGTTGATAATCAGTTTGCAGATCAAAACATTGTAGGAAAAAAAACCTTTAAACTTCAAACTACTTGCACAGTGGTAGAAACACATTAAATGGAAGCTCATTGATTCGCAATTACGTCAACGATTATGGAATTTTCCACATTACGTAATTTTTAAAATTGAAAAATAAAACCGGACAATCAGTGCGTGTGTGGGATAAACTTTGTTTTCTTCTCCAGTCTTGATCAATCAGATCTGACAATTCCAAATGGGAGCAACCTATGGCGTCTCTATCCAAAAATTATCATATTGGATTAGCACCTACCCATGTCGTTTATGCACGTTATGTGAAGACTCGAGAGCAGACCACTAGACCAACTCACATCTCTTCAAACTAGTGATTTAATCACTATAATGATGTTAATAATATGAACCCTTCCCATTCATCTGCTTCATTTGATGGTGGTGATATTATTTTTGTAGCATTGTAGCAACATAGCATTGGTACATTCCAATATATCAATGTATTAATATTAATGTTAAATTATCTATTCTGGTTTCTTCTCTCGCCGCCCACAGAAATGGCAGGCTGCTATTAAGAGTACGACGATGAGAATAAATGCTAATGATCCTAGGATAGCAATGATAATTATCCAGTTTTGCTCCAGGCTTGTCTGAGGTAATGCTGACGGCGCAACGATTTCTGCAAAGGAATATGCACACAAACTAACGGTTAATATCAGGGAAACTTAACTTTCCAAAATGAAATTTCCAATCCCCATTTGCATTTTTCAAAATACACTGTACGTTACTATTGTACAGGCTTTTTGTACATGGTGAGAGCAACAATAGTTCTAACCAAATGATCAACAAAACATTCAATCCTTGAGATTATAAATTATATTGAGTGCACTTTATTACTGCGTTTCTTTCAATATGAAGTTATCGTTTTCGAGGATGTATCGAGGACATACTCATAGATATCACTTTCTCTGATGAAAAGAAAAGATTTAACACAACATCCACCCTTGCTGTCTTTAATGAATAGATTAACCATTCACAGAGGTAAAGTCTTGGTCTATACGTTGAGGAAGTATAGCCCTTGGGGAAGGAAGATGAGGTCCCTAATCAACTTCAATAGGGCAACCGAGGGGAAATGTTATCTTCTGTTTATTAGTGTTTCCTTTCCATCTTCCATTGAAAACCCCCCTTTTCTCAATTCAGTGAGTCAAGTGAGGTCGTCTTCCTAGTTATTCTCAAAATGATAACTTACTTGTTTCGCAGTAAAGATCAATCGTATCTGATGGACACGCACACACAAAGATTGATCGTAGATTCATACATGTTCCTCCATTCTGGCAAGGGTTGGAACGACAGTGGTCGATTTCTGTCAAATTGTGAGGAGATTAAAAACATATATTTAAAATAACGAAAAAAAAACCCATTCAATTGGACTGAGTTACAATGTTAATTAAGAAATGAGAAGCCATGATAATTGCAATCAGAAGATTCTCGAGTAAAGTGCTAGAAGTGCCAATAATTCCATTTCGTTACTCGTAGACAGAAAGCATACAGTGTGTGTCTAACCTTGTTTTGCATAATTATGCAGTAAACATACATATCCTACATGACAAACAATTATAATACTTCCGGTTTATTTTGGAATCAGACGGCTTTAGCATGGGATTACCAAGACCGTAATAGCTAGCATACAAAGTCAAAAAGGACTAGGAATACTTACAAATTGTAGTTGATCCGACTTGTTTATTTAAAAAACATTCAAAATAGCAGTCATATTGCTGAAGCGAAGTGAATAACAAATTATTCAAAAAGTAATAACGTCCATGAAATTAAAATTGACAAATTATTTGCTTACTATAATTTTTTACTTGTGTATTTTAAATTTTTTTCATTTTGATTGGAGGTATCATGTAATGCAACCGTAATTACCTTTCTCACAGTAGAGTCCTTCATATGAAGTCGGGTCACATTGACATTCATAAGCCTCGCTTGAAATGGCAACACACGTTCCATTGTTCATGCATTGGTGACCTTGGCATACGGTATCAGCTGTATCAAGAAAGTAACGTTTTTGTATAAGAAATCAACTTGAGTTGAAAAGAGAGTTTGTACCCAATATGGAATCGTAGATAATTGAATAATGATATTGTACAACGGTAATCACGTCAAATATTAATTTGGTATAACGTTTATAATTTCTTCCAAACCAACATATAAACAAAATCTCTGTACACCAAGTATTTTTACCCGTTTACATGGCTTATAAACAAATAATTTAGATGCAATACATTGTTTCCTTAACACAAATCTTCAATGTGTTCACCATTCTCTTTCTTCGAACTGCAAACTGAGTAACATGCTCATTGACAAAAAAAAATGTGTGTTTGTGTTAAACGGTTAAATGCTATTATTGCTTAGATTATTCAGATTATTTATTTTATAATTGAAAAAAGGAGCTAAATTTGAGATTATCATTCTCCTTCCTCTTTCAAACTAATGTTTATCTCTTTATCGAAGTGATTAGATTTTGTTTCGTTTGTGAACCTTGTATTAAAAACCGCTTTTACTTTTTGAAAGATGTAATTCTTACAATTTTTCAGAAAATATGAAATCAAATTGAAGTACTTACATATAGAGCATATAGACCCCGAGAATCCTTTGGGACAGACACATTCCGCGATGCCGTTCTGTTTGATACATATACCATCATTCTGACAGATTGTAGTATCAGTACATACTATAGCTGTAGGATCAGCTGTATGGGAGAAATAAACACAATTCAGAGAGGCACATCAAATTATCTTTTTTTTTCAGTGACAAATTTTATCTATTTAATCAAACACAATAAAAGCATCTCTATTGATTAAAACAATATGGCCTAGTGATAAAAGCAAACATGGTTAGTTGTTCATGTGTAGAATTATCTCCGAATAAAACAGACTTCAACGAACAAGTTCAACCATATAAAAATGCTTCAGAAAATTATTGAAAAGTCTAAAGATAAATTTGTAGACTCATTTGCATATGAGAACATTGATGATAAGTTGGAGTAGACCAACTTGCATGAATTTCTATCATTATAATTTTAATGTTAATATTCTGAATTAAACAGCGATTTAGTATATATGCAGTTAATGATTATATAACAGCCTGGTAACTCAATTAAATGGCTATTCCATGCATAAAGTGTACGCCCCCACCCATTAGGAGGCATTCCAGCCATGTAGGCAAGGCACTTTATACAAACACACACATGCTATGAAAACACAGATAATGTTCTCATCCTACTAGATCCCCATTTCTACTCCTGTGTAAAGAGAAGCAAAATAGAGAAGAAACTATGAGAGGCTCAAACCCATGACCTTTGCAAGTCCAGTTAAGTGTTTCAACCACCCGACTGTGACACCTCTACCATTTCCCACCATTGCCCAGATTTTGAGAGGCATATCTCAATCTTTTTATCAAGAGAAAGTTTAGCTAAAATTACGAGGAAGTATAGAAGAACAAAAGTATATTTTTATGATTGCATTTCATCACATTCCATTCCATTCCATTCGATTGCGAAATATGTCACTATAGTATTTTCTTCTATACCTGTTTTGCATTCGGCGCCAATCCAGCCCTCGGGGCAATTACAGATGAAGGTTCCCCGGGATGGTTCAATACAGGTACCACCATTCTGGCATGGGAAACTACGGCAACCCTGGCGAGCTTGAAACATGAAGATAATTGAAAATTAAAGATAAAGGTGAGTTCTGGTAATGCGATTGCATTGTGAAAGAAAAGGTGTGGAATGGATCAAAAACAGTTGATCATGTAGCATGTAAGTATTGGTGTGCACTGCAAGGTTCTGGAGTCATCAAAATCATAATAAATTTGGCCGAGTCTTGGTAAAGTAACAAGCACTGTACACAGAAAGCTATATATGGGACAACACACATGGTGTCGGGGCTAGTATTACCTTGATTTCCTTGTCTTTCTGTGCTCATTACTCAGCCAGTATACATTTTCTTCCAAAATTGTTTGGCGCATGTCATTTTTTTGTAATCTTGAACATTCAGTGTAAGTTTCGTTTGATTCTGTGAGAATTATTTTTTTTTTTTTTACCAGACCTGGAGTTTATCTTTAAGCTCTAAACATTTAAAATGAATCGTAACATAAGTAGGTAAGAGAAAAACGCTTGAAAAAAGAAAATCTTAATTGCCCTCCTTTCAAACTGGACAATATGACACTTACTTTCTCTGAGATATTAAGACGATAGGGGTCAGCATTTACCTACAGACAGACCTTAAAGTGTGTTGAGATGTTATTTATGTATTAGAAAATGCCACCTGTTTAAGATTTCAGTTTTGTTCATATTGATATTTATTTGACACTATCGTCTGACGATGATCATGATAAACTATAAATACTGGTTTTTAGAATCTACGCCAAAAAATCCTCGAAAAGAGGACCTTGTAAATATTTTGTGTTGCTTGTTTTGTTATTATCTCTGCTTGCGATATAAACATACATTATTGTTGTGCTACATTTTTATGCTAAGCAGAAAAGAAAAAATGTTAATAACTTTAATCTTGTGGTACTTACTCCCCCGGCAGTTGGATCCCATGGCAATTGTATCACAGTTACATTCATAGCCATTCACCTCATCTATGCAGTCATAGCCGTTCAGACAAGGGCTGCTAGCACATTCGTCGATTTCTGTAGATTATATTGAAATTGATAAGCAGCTACTGATTAAAACAGATGGTACAGAAACTTCTTAGAAAATGACATGACCACTTGCCTAATATCTTCACTGTGAACGTAAACTACATTTTATTATACGATTGGCGTCGCATAGGTCTAGACATTTTGGGGGTACAGTTGTTGTTGGGGGAACATAGGTGGATGAAATGCGAACGTACAAGGAGAGTCGGTAAAAGAAGAGGATGCATTATCTTGTTTTTACATTACCTTACAATCTCCCTTCCTGCTCATAATTTTCCATTACTATATGACATTCTTAGGAGGGATACAAGCAATTCGTTCCCGTAGCTATACAACTGACTGATAAAGGACAACTACTCCCTACAATACCACCCTCTGAATAACTAACCCTGAACAACCATAGCAGAGATAGCTTGACCAGACAAGTAGCCCCTAGTAGGATAATATTAACAAGAGGTCCGCAGAGGATTGGGGGGGGGGGGGGGTCATAAGCATACTTTAAAAGTTTTTCATACTCTACATGTATTGATATTATTAAGTATTTAGCGTCATCTGTGCCTGGGAGGGGAACAAGAGAACTCGGGGTCTTTCTTCCAGTATAACGGATTGAGGGTGTGCAAGTGGACCACTACACTAGGGCCCCCTTACTTTTATACGATTGGGTTCTTAGTGTGTGCGGGCAAGCACTGGATCCAATGACCGGGGTAATAGTATATTTGTAAAGCGCTTAGAGACATTTGTATTAAGCGCTATATAAAAATAAAATATTATTATTATTATTCTGTCATTATACTTTTGTACCTTCGCGGGGCTGTATTTTATGTTTTATAGGGCAATGACGATTGAGAAATACTCACCTAATTCACAGTCTGCTCCAATGTAACCATCGGGACACACACATGTATACTGTATGTCATTAGCCTGAGGTGGAACACAGAGGGCGCCGTTCTGACATGGGTTGGGGTCGCAGATAGTGTCACCCACACCTGATTGAAAAAACACACAATAGTTTACAATACCGTGCTGTTTGAATACCTTCGATGAATATAAATTGCAATTGCCCGATCACGAGTGTTTTGGGAACACAAACCTTTCAGGTGAACACACTGCCAAGTCAAAATGCGAGTGTTTGAATAATACAAAAGTGTGTCCTTCATAATTAAAGCAATACTATAACAGAATATTGAGTTAATTTATCTTATTTTGTAAATACATACGAAGAAATGATTGAAAGGCCCATTTTTTGTCCTGAGAAGATTAATCGTTGTTTGTTGTTGTCTTTGTGATCGTGTTATAGGTAATACTTTTTGTTGAATCCATGCAAAGGCCGAAATTTAGAAACTTAATAATATTTCATCAACATTAATTTTAGTGCGAAGCCACAGCAAAGTAAATGGTTATAGGTTGAACCTGCAATACCATGTGCATATCATAAACACGCACATGCATTTCGTTTCTTAGCAAGTAATTATGAAATGACATTATCATTGTTAAATAAAAACATCGTCGCTGTTTTCACGAAGTGACGGTAGAGAAAAAAAATTGCATTCACTTTACGTGACGATTTTCCTCACTACCGTCACTTCGTGAAAACAAGGACGACATATGTATTTTTCAATTGTTATCTTATCAAATATCATCAGTGTCCGAATAAAAAAAGAAGTTCCGTTTACATGTGATAAATATCTCTCAATCTTGATGGCAAGAACAACTTACTTATTTCACAGCGGTCACCTCTGAATATATCACAGCACAGGCAAGTAAACATGCCTAACCCATTGATGCAGGTTCCACCGTTCGCACATGGCTGACTGCTACATTCGTTGATATCTGACGATAGAATAAACGAAAGTGAGTCACATATGGGGAGATAGAGAAAGATAATAGACCAGAAATAAAAAAGGAGTGTAAGGGAAAATAATCGGATAGAGAGACAGAAAAGCAGAATGATAAATAAAGATAGAGAAAGAAAGAAAATGAGAGAGAGAGAGAGAGAGAGAGAAGGGGAAAGGAAGGGAAAGGATGAAATAGAGAGGGTGAGAAGAATGGAGGGAGAGAGAGAGGGGGGTAAGGGTAGAGAGAGAGAGAGAGAGAGTAGACACAGAGAGAGACATACACACACACACAGACAGAGGGGTAGCAAAGAGAGAGAGAGAGAGAGAGAGAGCAAAAGAGAGAACAGGATGAACAACCTTAAAGAAATGCATAGATATATACTTGGCAAATGTTGCAATAAGCATCAATGCTTTAAATTACGATTATTACTGTGGCTTTGAGGGTTAAACAGCATTTTCCCATAAAAGGGTTTTACAAATATCACAATCAATGTCCTCGTAAACGTTTCCTCAAACCTCATGGACTACAAGCTTATTTTACATTCTAACACTGAATTGAGAAAAAGATGTTTGAAATAGGCATGATGGCAAAATGATGCTATCCTGTGACCAAGTTCAGTGGCTTTACTTCCCATGTTCTCAAGAGCAAAAGGTTTGTCAACATACCCATATTACAGCGTTCCCCAGTCCATCCAGTGATGCATATGCATTGAAACCCGTCACCATTCACCATGCACGTTGCACCATTAGCACAGGGATCCTCATCACATGGTCCCTGTTCAGTCATAGCTGCATACAAAGCACATAGTCAAAAATGGAAGTCAAGTAATTGCAATCTGGATTCACTGTACTCGTAAACAAACTTGTGTGGCTAATACAAGTTTAAGATTGCATTTATACGTACGACTGATAATAGTTCTTGTGCATTGTAATCTGTCCACTTCAGCGTTTAACAACCGGTATGCCGCAGGGCATGTCTTTGGGTACCGCGAGTGAAATTAGTTAAAGATCTATTTTTGATCCATCACAAAATTAACATTAAAAACCGCTTGGATTTTCATAAAGACATAACATTTTAAAGACAAATAGGAGACTATCTTTCCTCGCTCGCAATATTAACATCAGTATAACAACGGCAGTGAAGGGCATGGATACCCACATAGGTAGTCAACAAGGTGCCAGCATATCTTCACATTTGTATATTTTTATAGTTTTATATCGAAATGACATGTTTAACCACGTTCGTTCGATTTACTCGCTCAAAACATTTAGAAGCAGGATGATTCTGAACAACGAGATGCTTGAATATCAATATATGTGTGCATCGGGGTGACCGAATATAATGACTTCTGTAGTTCATGAGCTAGGCAGCGAGGTGCCAGCATACACAGTGTTAATATTAGCCTGACTTTAGCAAAGTTATATGCCCTAAGGCGGGAAATTTCAAAGCAAACCATTACAGAGTAATGTCTTTCAAACGAGAGAGAAAGATGAATATCGGGATAAACACTCGATCTGCTTTGATCATCTATTCCACCAAAATCACAATTTATTTAATATGATGCAAGTCCAGCTCTACCACTTGGCTCTTATTTTATTTCTCCATTTAGCAAAATTGAATACTCACGTGCAATGAGGCAAGCATCATCTTCGAAATCACGGGGGCATAGACAGGAGTAGCCATCAACATCACTGTAACACTGGGTTCCTTCTGGACAGGGATCGCTTGCACATGCATTCACATCTGGACGAGGATGATAAATATATGATCCGACCGATTAATTATCTTTATCACTTCCCAATGACACGTCAGTGATTGATAGCAAGGCCCTGAAAGGGCAACCCCCTCCCCCGTAACGGTAACATGGGGAACTGGCAACTATCAATGCAAGTGTTGTCGTTTTATATAGCACTACAAAACATAAGAAGAGCATTAAATAGCCATGTTACAAGATGGCACTCTGGAAACGTCGTTAGTATGCTCAGCACGTCATTATCCAAAAACCATTCATTGTTCAATTATGAATATCTGCCAGAAATGAAATAGATGAATCAAATACTTGATACTTCAATACATGTTATACAGAGTATTAACTGCAGCACTCAGTAATAAAAAAAAAAATCAGAAAAAGAAACGAGAACAGAAAAACAAGTTTGAGTTGATTAAGGAGTGGTTTCCAACTTGAAACTGGTTTGCACCAATCTTACCGATGTAGGTTCCACACAGAGTTCCAGTGTAGTAACGATCACAAATGCAGTCGAATCGGTTCTGGCCATTAACACACGAACCTCCATTTAGACATGGGCTACTTGTACATTCGTCGATCAGATCTAAACACAAAAGTAATGTTAAAAGTAGAAGGCTTACAACGTCACAATAGAAATATCGTCTTCAGAATAGCAGCAAAAACTTCTTTCGTTATAAAGTTTTATCTGCTAAATACGTTCTCTACATAATTTTCCTCTCTCCCTCGTGCACCCGCACCCTCTCAATACCTTTCTTATTTTCAGAGCAAATATTTCTTTAATAATTTCATTGCCGCTCCGTCTTTCAATCTTTATTTCAACTATTTTAGGATATCATTTTTACTTCATTCTTCTCTTTGTCACTCTTTCATTCAGGGACTTCCTCCCACATAGGTAATGTTGTTTCCATTCATTAACCCAACCTTCCCCCACATCAATTACCCTGTTTTCGTTATATTTTGCAATTGCACTTTATCAATGACATGGAAATATCTTTTCACTTTATAAGTCAAATCTCTAGCTGTAGGTAATATTTGTGAACTGTCCGAAACTTCTCAAAAAATATCTCTCAATGTTTCAAAAAAGCATCTTCAAACTCAATTATTCTGTTGATAATACCATTGTTAAATGGATTCGGAAATGCAAATTAATACTTTCCTTCTTTATTTCAATGAAAGGAATTCTAATTATTTAATCAAAAACAAAATAGCAACTCAATTATTTCAAACAAATATGACAAAGTGGTAAAAGTAAACATGGTTACAGCAGCTGGACATGCGTCACATTATCTACTGATACAAAATTCTCCTTTTACTTCTTTACTTCATTATTTTTCTGTTTAATATATCTTTGTATTCATGGTTTAAAATGTTTACAATCTTACCTGCATTGTTTACGGTGACATACGACACTCTGAACCCGCTCTCCGTCTTGCTCCCGTCCGAGGTGAATAGGGTCCAAACCAGATTATCAGTCGTCAAGAAAGATGGTGGAACATCCAAACCGGACGCGTAGATGACACGGGAACCGAGGTCAGTGATGTCCTCGCCGTTGCCGATGGACACGGCATCGTAGTTGAGTTCGGTGGTCATGGCCATGAAGGAGACACGGATGTGAGTGCCGGGTGGTGTTTGGATTAACCAGAGGCAGTACTGGTTGTTCTCGTAGTTTGCAGGGTAGCCGGGGGAGCTCAGGGTCAGGTCCCCGTCAGATGGGATGGTGTAGTTCCGGTTGCAATCTCCCTCTGGAGGATGATTAAATGACAATCACCGTCAATGACACTATATATTCGGGATGCTACACTATTCGGAGAGTTGGGGTTTATTTATGTATATTTCAACACACCCGATAGTGAAGTAAGACTTATAAAAAAATGGTGAAAGAAAGAAAAAAAAAAAAAAAAAAAAAAAAAGACGATTGCATGTCTTGCTCATTTTAGTGCCTGGATTACGGAAGATCTATAATAGGAACAGCTTTACTCATGATCTAACAGAGAATAAATTGTCTATTTCGAAAACTATTTGTTAAAATGTGTATTAAAAGCATATTCATACTTATCAAAGTTAATTTTCCCAAGCACATCTGTGAACAGTAATCATCACTTCAGAGGAACTGAAAATTACACCCATTAACAAATCAAACGTCCTGAATGCATTGGATAGTCTACCATGTGTTCAAACACAAATACTTACTCAGTTCACATCTGTCGCCACCCCATTCGATAGGACACTGGCAGATAAAACCATTAACTTCATCGATACAGGATCCTCCATTCAGACAGGGACTACTCGCACACTCATCCACATCTGTAGAGAGTTGCAAACAAACAAAACAAGCACCATTTTATACGTTAAAGGTACTGAACTGACGGTTGTATGGAATTGAAGAAAAAAACATCACCATACTTTTAAGTATGGATCCTTAGAAAAGTATTCGACACAAAGAGGCAATGAATTAAAACTTGTATTCAATACTACTGTACTACCTTCAAGGGATGAAGTTCTCCAAATAAATCATAGATAATCAAAACCACTAGAATTATAAACGGTTATTGCATGATAAATAACTGTGCTACATTTTATGTCGGAAAATCTGTCAATTTATGCACTTTCATACATTCTGTATCCTTTATTTCGACCCTAACGTTGCATAAATCGAATTTCCCATAGACAGAGTTGCCCACCCATATCTCTCATCCAAAAAAATCATTCGAGTAGTATTCCCATTAAGGGGAGATATTTCAATCTTTTAGATAAGTGTAGAAGTGAATATTGAGTAGAAAATCTGAAAAAATTCTGATATTTAAAATAAAAAGAGGCTTGTTAGTCACTTACTCTCATCGCATATAACGCCTCTGAAGCCTGGGTAGCACACACATGTATACGCATTTACCATGTCAACGCACTGTCCATTCAGACATGGACTGCTGGCACATTCATCAATATCTGAAATAAACAAGACACACATCGAATTAAAACTATACCGTCCTTATCTTGCAAATAATATCAGGCCCCTCGTATCTTTCAAATAATGGGAACTACACAATGGGTCTATGTTGAGTCATGAGTTGACGATTCTTCAGTGCAGTCTTAGTGATTTGGTGGCATTAAATAATATTTTGTTAGCATAAGATTTAAAAATTGATTTCAAAAACCTCCGAAAATTCAATTCAAAGGCAATTTCAATACCCTATGGTACATTTTGTAGAAATCACGTTTGGATTACATAATTTATTATTGTGATGTTCTCACTTTTCAAAAGGTGAATGTACTTTGCTATTTAGATGACCTTAGGTTGATTTTTCAAACGTCTTTGCGATGGTGCTGTTAAATAACTGTTAGACGTTGTAAAATAATCACCAATGACAGTGTTCTGTTAGGCCTATACATTATGGTTCATGCCATTCTATTCAAAATGGACTTTGTATAAACCAGTTACAGGTCAAAAGATCTCTTTACAGGTATATTATGTACAGTATTAAATATGACAGCGATTTCACAGTGCTTACGATAAAACATGAAAAGTACTTTCGTTGTAGTGGCACTCTTACATAGTATAACGGTGCTCAAATGATGGTTCCAACTTACTACTATCGCAGATAGTTCCTGTCCATCCTGATATACATATGCATACGAAAGCATTGACTTGATCCACACAAATTCCACCGTTCTGACAAGGATTTGTTTCACAGTCATTGATATCTAAGGTAAAGAGATGCAATATTATTAAGACACTTTAAAATGATCTATGAAAATAATGTTCATATTATATCTATTCTCGGGAACCTACAAGATCAACCTATGCTCTCCAGTAGCTTTCTGTTTCATTTCATAATTTTGAACTTACTTTGTAAACTTTGTTCTTTATTGTGCAAACAATTGATGTATGAAATTAAATAAATTCGAATCAATCAATCAATCAATATTTGATTATTTATTCATTTATTAGTCTTATATTTACCAGGGTGGTTTCATCGGTGTTTTGCAAAAAACACTGTAAACTATCACAAAATGAATAATACAGCGGAAAAACAATCTTTGTTTTGACCTTATTTTTTCCTGTCAGGAAAGAGGTTGCATTAAACTTTCAATAAACACAAAATCAAAAGGCGTCGTATATTTTTTTTAAATCAATTATAGATTTTAAAAATCACATGCCGAACAATGACAACAAATTGATGTATCGATCGATGTAATCATACTTTACATTATTTTTGAGAGAATACTACACCTGCATTATATCTATTCTCATTACAGAAGAATAAACTATGACTTACTTGTTTCACATCGCGTCCCTGTGAATCCCAACACACACTGGCATGTGAAGGTGTTATCACCATCAAAACACAAACCTCCGTTCAGACAAGGAACCCCAGAACAGTCATCACCCTCTGAAAGAATAGAAAGGATATTTGTTATCGTTATTAAGCGTCCCTTCCAAGACCGTGAGGCGTATCAGGTATACACTATGATACATAGTATAACAAATGTTGGAAGATCTCTTCAAAGAAAATAGTCTAAATTCGCTATCAAAATCTTTTATAACCATTTAATATTAACAGGTCTGAACATAACAAGCGAGTTCGTAATTATGATTTGCGCATGGGCAGTTAAAGGTCATTCGTACCCAAATTGTAAAACCATTGAGACGAATACTCGGATCGTGCTCATGAAAGTTATGTAATCAGTATTCATTTATGCACCAACAGTACATTTATCTGATACACAGGTGGAATTATTCTTCTCATGAGGCAAACAAAAGGTATTCATGAAGCACATTTAGGACTTTGGCAGTTATTATTCTAAGATGCTCAAAGTGGAACTTCTCCATGTGTAAAAGATCTGTGGATATTTGGGGTATTTCAGAAGACATTTAACATGGCCTCTTGTATTTCTGATGGCGTGGAAATGGGCGGACAATTACCCATGTAATACTGCCCTATGGATGTTTATGGACAATCCGTGCGGACCATCCGTTATGTCCCATTGGAATATTACAGGGAAAAAGAAAGTGATACTGCATTGATTCTGCACATCTTGGTGAATTCCGGTGGTTTAACAATTCAAGAGTTATAACAGAGATATATCTAAGAGGTCGTAAATCATATTTGCAAAATTGAAGGGCACTAAACGAGTAGAAATTGCATTAAAACAGCATCATGATACATTGTCTTTGAGGCTTACTGAATATCTCTACACTTACCGTTTTGACAGTTCTGTCCAGAGAATCCTGGAAGACATCTGCATTGGTATCTGTTCTCAAGATTGTCACATGTCCCTCCATTCACACAGGGCTGACTGAAACATTCATCAATATCTGAAAAACAAAGGGGTCGTTTATACATTCTGATGAAATGTTTAAGAGCCCATGATAGCGATGGATTAAAACTGATTAACTGACGCATACGCCAGAATAGGTAGGGACATTATTTGTATATATTTGTTTATTCATTTATTCAAGTTTTATTCAAAGTAGAGGGTAGGTACATTCAGTAAAATACTACTTCCCAAGGACACCCTCCTAGGACGACATAACAAACATGTGATATACAAAAGTACAAGAAATACATGCAAATATAACATTCATAAAAAACCAACCATTGACATGTCTGGCAAAATATATTATTATTAAGGACTCCGTCACAAATTGATTAATTTGAAAGATTTTTCCTGTTTTTCGGACTGCTTTTTACTGATTTCATTCTGGAACAGTTCCTCATCATGCCAGGCAATAAAGCCACAGAGCCTAATCTGACCAACAAGAAGTCAATGAGGATCCAAGAAAATAGTGTGTCGAGCCCAGCCTCTCTGACTTACGACAACGTGGCCACGATACCAGAATCACCTCTTCTATCTTCCGGAGATTGCAACAGGGAAAAGGGAAAAGAAGTAGAAATAGAGAGAGCACAAGATAGTCCAGCGGGAAGACTAGCGTAAGCCCAGAGAGGAACAACCCAAAGGAGCTGATACCAGTCAAGAAACATTATTAATCAACGATTTGAATAATCATAATAATTTTGTTGCATCCAAACCCTGTTTTGATAAATGCGTGCATGTTAAAAGTATAAACATACTTATACAATAAGGATGGGTCAATAATTCCATGTGATATATGGCTTGAAAGAGGAGTTACCCCGAATTTGTTATTGCTACGGAGGAGCATTGCTTATACCATACCTATAGCTTGAAAACAGAAACTTAGACAAGGTTTTGATGGGAAGAATTGTGTATCCAAGGTTTTTCTATCATCTCTTCTATCTTCCGGAGATTGCAGCAGGGAAAATGGAAAAGAAGTAGAAATAGAAAGAGCACAAGATAGTCCTGCGTGAAGACTAGCGTAAGCCCAGAGGGTAATAACCAAACGGAGCCGATACCAGTCAAGAAACATTATTAATCAACAATTTGAATAATCATAATAATTGTGTTGCATCCAAACCCTGTTTTGATAAATGCGTGCATGTTAAAAGTATAAACATACTTATACAATAAGGATGGGTCAATAATTCCATGTGATATATGGCTTGAAAGAGGAGTTACCCCGAATTTGTTATTGCTACGGAGGAGCATTGCTTATACCATACCTATAGCTTGAAAACAGAAACTTAGACAAGGTTTTGATGGGAAGAATTGTGTATCCAAGGTTTTTCTATCATCTCTTCTATCTTCCGGAGATTGCAGCAGGGAAAATGGAAACGAAGTAGAAATAGAAAGAGCACAAGATAGTCCTGCGTGAAGACTAGCGTAAGCCCAGAGAGGAACAACCCAAAGGAGCTGATACCAGTCAAGAAACATTATTAATCAACAATTTGAATAATCATAATAATTGTGTTGCATCCAAACCCTGTTTTGATAAATGCATGCATGTTAAAAGTATAAACATACTTATTTATACAATAAGGATGGGTCAATAATTCCATGTGATATATGGCTTGAAAGAGGAGTTACCCCGAATTTGTTATTGCTACGGAGGAGCATTGCTTATACCATACATATAGCTTGGAAACAGAAACTTAGACAAGGTTTTGATGGGAAGAAGTATGTATCCAAGGTTTTTACCGTTATTGAAAACGACTCAGAAATACCGCTAGAAAACCTAAAATCCATGAAATTGTTACCGTACACTCTAAGAAAAAATGGTGCCAAAAAGGGTGCAATATAAGATTTTGCACCCTTCCAAAAAATGAACCATATCGACTAAAAAAGGGTGCAAAATAAAAGTTTGCATATTGCATACATATTTATGATTACTTTTTACGTGTTCACATACAAATACATTTATCATGATTTGTTAAGCAAATTATGACAATGCACATCAATTTTGTGATTTGTATTTTCCTTCGGCAATCATTAACCAATAGATTATTTTGTCTGATCATGTTACAATTACATTCACGTTTTAGCAATAGATATATTGATTATATGATTACTCACCAAGAAACAACATGCATGTTTAATATGCATTTGTGTACGAGCAAATTTCACGAGTATTCCTCGAGTATGGGTACAGGATTGCACCTTTTAAAGGGTGCAGCATTGAACCCCTAAAGGTGCTGTTATTGCATTGGTTGTCACCCCTAATGGAGCAGGATTGAACCATTAAGGGTACTAACATGTCCCCTAAAAGGTTCAATCTGGCACCTTTTTAAAGGGTGCACGATTGCACCTTTAAAAAGGGTGCAGGATTGCCAGTGTTGCATCGGTTTGCACTCCTATAGGTAAATACTTGCACCATTTTTTCTAAGTGTGTATTCCAATTAAAAGGATTGTTATACATCCTGCTTCTCAAAAGAAATTTACGAGAGAAATGGATATAACAGAGGAAGATTGGAAATATATTTATATCTTACCTGTTCGACCAATTACTGAAGTTAAAACAAGATTTTTTCGATGCAAAATTAATACAAACTGTCTTCTAACTAATCATAAATTACATGAAATGAAATTGGTTGACTCAGAACTATGTACTTTTTTTGTGGAAATTTCCCTGAGAAAATGGAGCATATTTCGGGAGTGTGAATATGTAAAGCCGCTATATTCTGAGTTTCAAACCTGATATAGAAATATTACTAGTACTTAAATAAGTTTCAATTTGACTCTGTATTATTTGGAAATAAAATAAATAACCCGATTTTTGTGTACCCTTTGTTTAAAAAAATGATACAGTGAAACCTGCTTTAGGTTATTATGCTATAACGGAAACAGGAAATATAGACCATTGTTTATATGCTTCAAACATTTTATTAAATTTAATGTTTCCCTTGAAAAGCAAGCGGCTTTCAAAAATAATACACCGAGCAAATTCTTTACTAAATGGCTCGCGTTAAATATTATTGCTTTAGAAAATTAATATACAATGTAACTGTTATGATATTTTTATATAATAATAAAAATGATAATAATATATTACATTTATAAAGGACTTAATACAATGTTTCTGTGAGATTGTACAACTGTATATTTCGTTTCTGTTTTGTTCAAAAAATATATTAAATTTAATATACTCCGAAGTGAGGGGATAAATAAAGAACCTCCTATTTGTGACGATAAAATACAAAAACAAAACGATAATCTAGGACTTAGAGAAGGTTGTAAATATTTAAAACTCAGCGAGAAGATAGAACAGTTCTAATTATGCGCATCTGTTGTAAAGAAAATTATTGAATAGTTTTAATTTTTGTATTCAAAGCTAAATATTTTGTACGTAAAAACTGTATGATAAAGGTACTTAAAGTGTGTTTTCCATGAAGAAAAACGCATAACGATTAAAATGCCTATGTCGTCATAAAATGCTACAGGATGAGATTGTTATGAAAAAAGGCGCCCTTTCACAGAGATGCACCGAACATTTTATTACAAATCGTATCGACAATAAAATATATCATTTTCATATCCTTCCTTCCATTTCAAAACTATTAATCTAGATTACTACAGATTAAGGTATTCTTACTATATCATAGATAGATAGATAGTTTATTGGTTTCCACAATATCTCACTTTACAAAGAGTGTAACAACATATTGAAAAATGATTATAAAATACATGTACAATACCGGTACACACTTTTCAGAATATTGTCCATTAAGTTGAACTTAAGAAATATCATATATATAACAAAAAATGTTACAATATGGTTAAAAATTCGATTCATTTCAATTCAAATGAACGTTTATTTTTTCCATTCACTTTGACAACATATTTGATATCTGTTCAAACAATACAATTTATATGTAGGAACATAATCATAATTAAAGAACTTGTATTATAAGGAAGAAGGCGCGAATCATTACCTTCATCACAGAGTACACCAGTCCATCCGGGTCTGCAGAAACAGGTGTATCCGTCTATACCATCCACGCATTCTCCATTCACACAGGGACTGCTAGCACATTCGTCAATATCTAAAGGGTGTACATAGAAAGATAGGTAAATAGTAAAACAATTGTAGAATAACGAAAACGGCAAACTGCCCTGAGTAGTACGAGTAATGCACCGCAAATGAAGGGGAGGGGGTCATTGTTAAATCGTGTTGCTTTCATAACTATCTTTATAGTGGTTCAAGGAGGGTCCACATGCTGATCATGTGATTAAAAAAATGTACCTGCAATAATATTTTCTTCTTTAAGTCGACCTAGCATTTCGTTCAAAAAAGTTTTAAAAGTAATTCCATTTTACACATTGGTGAGTTAAAACATGGAGGATTTAAAAGATAAAACAGATTGTTTTCTTTCTTCATTGAATGTGTTACTTACTGATTTGACAGAGAGTGCCCATGAACCCCGGTGTACAAATGCACCGATACATGTTGACTTGATCGTCACAAGTAGCTCCATTCATACAGGGGTTGCTGACACACTCGTCCACATCTAGAGGGGAAACAAGAATATTATGTTCTTATGAAATATTCAAAAGAGATACAATAACACGCAGACAGGAAGCAATTCATTATCATCATCATCACAATCAACATCCTCATTATCATCGTCACCACCATCCTCATTTGTCCTCACCTGCAGTCAACACTGCCGTCTTCAATAGGTACAGCAACATCATCGTCATCGCCATCAATACTGCATACATATTATCATCATCTTCGTCACCACCACCATCATCATCATCATCATAATAATCGAGATTGTCATCATCATTACCATCATCATCATCATTATCACCATATCTATCATCATTATTGATTTTTATCAACAATTGTCATTAATCATCATTATTATTCATTAATACAAGCATCTTCATGTTCAACGCCACGACCATCATCTTCGTCACCAATATCATTTCATCTTACCCACCACCGCCATTTATCATTATCCTCAACATCAACGTTTAATCATTATCCTCAACATCAACGTTAATCATTATCCTCAACATCAACGTTAATCATTATCCTCAACATCAACGTTAATCATTATCCTCAACATCAACGCTATTATCAGTGTTATCATCATTGTTATCATCGTTGTTATCATCGTTGTCATCACAATCATCTTACCGATTTGACATTGAGATCCAGTCCATCCAGATGCACAGAAGCAGGTGTATCCTCCTATAACGTCTTGACATGTTCCACCATTCTGACAAGGATCACTTTCACATTCATTGACCGCTGGAAATTAAAATTAAAAAAAAATGGCTTTTAGTTTTTCTTGAAACATGACTTAGCAAATAAATAGACAACAAGTACATATTACCTTACAAAGCATTTCGACAAACAAAATGTGCGATAAAGAGTTGGTATGGAATTTCTATTTTCTTAAGTAAGTGAACTTAGCTGATTGTACTCATTTACTTTCCTCACATTCTAGATGTCACAAAAGTCCTTGGCTCGAATCTTGATCATATTTAAGTTTAATTTAAAAGCGATGATGATAAACTTAGTCAAAATTAAATTGAACAAAACGAAAGACCGAGGTAAACGTTTTATCTCTGTAAAATTAGATAAACAGGATTAGCATGGGGTTTACCTGGATTTAGAACAAATAATGGTTTTTGCATTTACCATCAAGAAATGCGTAATATAATATGAACAATACGAAATTAGAATTCTGACGCCTACAGTTAAAAAAGGCATGAAAGGTTTCAATCATACCTTAGAATAAACTTAATGAATTATGCATCAGGAGCTTAAAGTCTGTCTGCACTACCTGAATCTACTTGCGCCCTATTTATAGCAAACAATGCCTAAGCGGTATCCGTTGGTCCCAAATGATCCTTTTTGTCTTATGTTAATTGAGAGCTGATTTGGTGAGATAACCACCTGTCAGTGACTATGCAGGGAGGTCTAATCCCTCCTGACCAAACAATTGCAGCCAGGTTTTGAATATCTAATAATTACCAATGTTTTATGAAACATTGCTAATGATGCTGCTCCAAAACTTACACATTTCACATCTGAGACCAGTCCAGATCGCGGTACAGTCGCAGGTGTATTCATTTTGTCCGTTGATGCATGTTGCACCGTTCTGGCATGGAGAACTGTGACACTCGTTGAAATCTGTACATTTCAAAGATTAAGAGCAATCATTACACCCATAAGTAAAACATGTACTTAATATATCTAAAAATGAAATAAAGATTGCCAAAATAAAAAGTACGAACAACTGATAACTAGTATTTTTGATATGGTAGCGTAAGTTATAGTATGTTATTTAGGTTACACTGTTATTATCATAATCATATTTAAAACTAAGCGCTGTCTCAATGCCGATTGCATTAGATTAACCCTATTTTTATAAAAATAAATGTGGTTCAGCTATTAAACTGGTGGAAGGAAGAAGTGACATTATATTTCACCGAAATACAACACAAGAATATCAAACATATTGTATAGTTTGCTACCATTATTATTTATAACAACGTGCGATTGGTACAGTGGATAGAGCGAAGAGCTAAGAACGGTATAATCTGGTTTCAAGCCAAAGTCAAGTTCCTTTACCCTTTGTGTATCATAAAGGCATAAACTCTCAAAATGCTGGTCCTACCGGTAGTACACATTACGGAAGTCCATCAAGGATGATCATTAATCATTGGGCTTTATATACAGTATAATGAATGATAAAACAAATAAGCAATTTAAAAGTTGTTGGTGCTTTTACCGATTTCACACGTTGCTCCCTCCCATCCAGGTCCACAGATGCAGGAGAAGGCATTGTCTCCCTCAATGCATGTGCCTCCATTCTCACACGGGTCACTAGCACATTCGCTCAAACCTTCGAGAAAAGGATTTGATATATCATATTAAAGGTTGATGGCAGTACATTCAGTTCTTATTCGACAAAATCACATTGCAATCATATATCCCTAATCTAGTATGGACATCACGCTGAGAATAGAAACAAATGAATGGTATTGTTTATGACTAAGGACCGTGGTATCAAATCAACACAGATCAAATCAAGAGATATTACAGTCGACAAGTTATGCCCAGTTTCAATTTTTTCGAGCGACTGAAGTATAATTGAGAAGACTAGTAGTTTGAAAAAATATTCATCTACACAGACCAAATAGAATATGAAATAAATCACTACAGATATAGATGTCACAAGCCAAAAACGAACACATTGGGAAAAATAAGCACGGTGAGAGGGAGTGTATACTTTATAGTAATTATTAAGGGCTTCTGTGTTTCATGGATATAAAAAGATATCATTATTGCCTTCGTTTGTCTGTATTGTATTGCATGAGCCAGGAAGCGTGGGGATTCATATATATATATATATATATATATATATATACATATATATATATATATAAGTGCGAGAATTCTCAACTCTGACATGACAACGGGTGTTCCAGAATATGTAGGCGTACAGCTACGTCTCAAGTTCCACCATTTTCTTCACGCCTATATATATATATATATATATATATATTTCTAGATAGGGCAGGGTATGCATGAAGTCAAATATCACAACCCCCATGGGAACTTACTTGTCTCACAGAGTGGTCCGGTCCAGTCAACAGTACATGTGCATTCAAACCCGTTGACCTCGTCCTTGCATGTTCCGCCATTGAGGCACGGATCGCTGGCACACTCGTCGATTTCTGTAAATTGAAGTTAGACAAATCACACATCCAGATACCAAACAACATTAGTAACAAAATAAAACAAGATAAAACAAAAACAATCATAATCGTAAGCCTTTTTGTATACAACGTGGATGCTAAAAAGAACAAGTTTTTTTGGGTTATTTGGTATCGATAGTACTGAACACGACTGTATATAGAATTTTAGACGAGGATTATCCATTTCTTTCTTGAATAGTTAAACATTAATATTAGCATACTTCGCAATCACAATTTATTATTAACACGTGGACGGATACAATTGTGGTAAAAAGAATAATTGTTTTAAAGGAAGGCCACCACACAGTGGCAAAAACAGTTTTGTGGTGTTACCATGTACTAAATAGGTGTGCATTCTGTCTCAAACTCATTTTTTTAACAAAATTATTTCTCCAGCTTCAGCTCCAAATTAAAATAAAAGTAAAGAGGATTCACTCGACGTACCAGTCTGACAATGGTCTCCAATGAAACCTGGGAGGCACTGACATTGGTAACCGTTGACTTGGTCGAAACATCGTGCGTTGTTCTGACAAGGGTTGCTAAGGCACTCGTTGATATCTGAAAATCACAACCACGTGAAATGGAATTAAAAAATATGGTTTAAAACCATCATTATAATTCAGTATTTTTTAGCTTGTCGGACAACTTTGTACTCACTTTTAATAAACTTTAATTGGCTAATTTCTGTCGGCAAAGAAGCAACACGTAATAATAGACATTGTGTTGCAAAATCATCATCTGAAAATATCTCCTTCCTCCAATATTTTAATGACTAAGAAAACATGGATAATGAAAACGCTCCGTAGCAAAACTTTCAAACAAAAAGATTACCTATTCCGGGAAATTAATCCTTTGATACTTTTTCTAAGCATACTCACATTCATGGTAATATAAAATAAAAACAGAGGCATCGTTAGCTAGCATTTTTAAATATATATATCAGGTACATGAAAATTACAAGGAGAATCTTGGGAAATAGGAATTTGCTGGTTCCCTCTATTTGGCCCCCGTTTTTGTTTCCATTTATAGCTTACCTCCACTACATGTCTTTCCAGTGTATCCCGGTGTACAGATGCAGGTGAAGTTGGCCACGAGATCAATGCAGTTCCCACCATTCCGACACGGGGTATCTTTGCACTCGTCGATCTCTACACTGCAGTCAAACTCCGTATAACCAGGGGCACAGTCACAGTTGAAGTATGTTGATCTGTTGATACAGTTCCCGCTGTTAACACACGGCTGCGGTGAGCATTGATCAATCACTGAAGAAGAACAACAAATCTGACTATTAAAATTGAATTGATATTTTGTGAAGCCAATTAAATTTCAAATTATACTATTTGACAAGAGTTGTAAGCATAGGAGCTGATCAAAAAATGATTAAAAACATGAAAGAGAGGCAAGTTAGTTATATAAATGACACCGACGAGATTTAAGTCAATTTTGAAAGGTTCATTTCGACTGATACCCCTATTTTGGGCATTCAGGAAACTGCAAAAGAATATGCAACCCGCATCAGATAAGTTCCTGATATAAACAAAGGGATATATTGCCAAGCGAAAGAGTAAATAAAAAGGTGTTTTATGAACATGTCCCAATGAACATTTTGCTACAGAAATACGCAATACTTCTATCTTCACCCAATGAATTCTCTCTTCTTTTGAAAATCTATGGTATACTCACATTGTTCGCAGTTGACACCGGTGAAACCAGAGGGACATATGCATTCATATCGATTAACTCCATCAACACAGAATCCATTATTCTGACAAGGGAACGATGCACATTCGTTGATACCTAGGACGTAAAATATAAAAATGCATGATTCCTTGACCACAAAAGGATATAGCCAACACAAAACAGCAGACCTATATAGGCTTTGAATATAAGTAGCATTTTAGCTAAATGAATACGCGCATTAGATTGAATCATTGGATTCTGCATTACAATTTTTCATGAGCAAAGTAAGACAAACTAAATTCTGCAAATATGAAAGAGGATAATTGATATTATGTTTTGGTGATTGATCATTTTCGAGGAAGTATACGACAGACAAGACTGAAATTTTCATAAATATTCAATTAATGTAGAATAAACCTGGGAATGCATACAGGAGTAAACCAATGTCTGACGGACATGAATATCATGATATTGTTGAAAATATGAAACATTTCTTCACTATACAGTTCATCGAGGTCATTCTAGTACGAGGTTCTTTCATATATCTAAAAGACTTCCAAACATAGATATACATCAGACAAGTACAAAGGACTGGTCAATGATTATCATTTACACCTGAAATCCTTTGGTAAGAAACGGTAGTACTTACTGACATCGCATCGTTGCCCCGTCCATCCATCTGTACATGTACATGTGAATCCATTGACCTGATCGAAACAGGTTCCTCCATTGTTACACGGGCTTCCCAGACAGTCATTGGTGTCTGAAAATGGAAACAATCCAAGGTAAATAAATATACGTATGTTACAGGGGTCAAAACCTACCTTCTACTTCATCAAAGCTTCTAGCTTAATGATGTAAACATGTTTAATATAATTGTGCTACTATTTTTCGTTTCATGACTCAATACGTTAAGAGAAGTAGTATTGCCCTTATATTAAAATATTTACAAGGTAAAAGACCACGTAGCTATGCATTTCACATTGCTGGGAATACCATGCTAATGAGAAAACTTCAGAGGAAATGGAAACAAGATTTAGCATGTTGAACCTCTGCTTATATAATGATTCAGATCTACTTTTAAATGTTCGTTCCATCAAAGTCATGTAAAGGAACCAAGGAGCAAGGTCTAAAGAGCAATAAGTACACGAGGAATCAAGGGAGGAAGCCCTTCTGGTCACCCTAGCACAGCAAAGGAAATGTAGTTTATAAACATTAATCATTATATCAAAGAACAAAACATACCCGGATGCGATGTAAACTTACTAATATCACAGTTTTCTCCTTCCCAACCCACTACACACGTACATGTGTAGTACGTGAGGAAATTGTTGCAGATTCCAGAGTTTTGGCAGGGGTTGGGTGCGCATTTGTCCACCTCTGTAAAATGAAATGTTCCAGGTTTTTATTACGACAGTGATCAAGATCTTCTGAACAACATCCATGGTCTATTAATGAAACTGAATTAGATTAAAACATATTTAGGCCCACATGGTTTAATGTCGTTTGCTTGCAGGTTACCTTGTCTATCATTGTAGAAACGAAACTATGTTTATGCTAAGTATTGTGTATATTCTATTTTTAACAACTTTGCAACTGTGTTGTTGATATCTTTGGTGGTCTGTACAATGTTATTAACCTCTTTTCCACCAATAAAAAAATGGCATTTACCCATATGACCAAAATCCCATGTGACATATTCTATTCGACAAATGCAAAGCTACCGTTGTTAATTAATATGGTCAAACGAAAACAATAGCAGCCTCCCGAAAAGTCAACTTGAGTAAATCTAAATAGTCTTGTTTATCACCTTCCTGAAATGTGCGAACAGTCATTACAATAACTTACATGCATTTAGTAATTCAAACAGGATTTCATTGAGATACACAATTAAAGAGCATTGAAATTTCCCCGAGAGCTGGTTTTCGAAAGTAGCCGAGTACATTTCAAATTGGAACCTTACCGTTTTCGCACTCCCTTCCTTCATATCCAGCTTCGCATGTACATGAGAAGTCATCTACCAGGTTGTTACAACGACCACGCCCACTGCATAACTGATTGGTACATTCGTTAATGTCTGTAAGAAGAACAATGATATGAACATACAGTCAATGGAGTAAAACATTCCTGGTTAATAGCAATTGACAGGCCTTTGGCTTGCGCTAGTCTCCTACATTAACTAAATTATCATGCTAAGTTTGTTTCGTTCTCTATCCCATGTGTTTGATTCTATTGTAATGTTTCTATTTGTTCTGCATTGTTGCACACATGTTACTGTTTTTATGAGTTTTGTGAACATCAATTAAAATCTCTGAAAAGCATTTTGTCTCAAGATGTTTCTCGTGACCAAGGTGAGGTAAAGTGTTTCATTGTGTGATTTATTCCATAAAGCATTTAAAGTATACTGCTTGCTGAAAGTGTCAAGAGTTTATGAAGTATGAACAAAATCAACTGTAATCATCGTAATATTCTTTCAAGCACATTTGAAGTACATACTGACTATGTTTAAAATGTGATAAACCTGTACAACTATCTTCAAACACTTGTAAATTATGATATGACATGAGACTGACAGGTTTTATTAGATGTCACGTATGGTTTAGTGGTTTAGTATAGGTGTTAAAAACTGATTTTACATGTAGTCTGTGATCAGTCGATCTACAGCTCCTTCTTCCTTCCATATTCCTATAAATGCAGATATTGGCGGCGATAGGCGCTATGAAAATCCCTAAAAATACAGTTCACTATTATCATTGTAAATGCAAATTATAGAATTAAATGAAAACATGATGATTGGTTTAAAGACCTCACATACATACCCTCTGCACAATTAGTCCCAGTGTATCCAGGAGCACATATACAGGCGTACATGTTAGCACCGTTAATACATGTACCATTATGCAAGCATGGCATCGATTGACACTCGTTCTCATCTGTTTTGAAAAGAAAAGAAAAAATAAAATCACGATAATTGAAATAAACCATCAGGGGCAATATTATGAAAACGATGTTAATTGTTATATATAAGAAACCAAAACTGCTCGGAACTAACTCTTAAACCTACCATTAGTGATTTAGCCGATGTTCTATTTTTAACATTATGCTAACGCCACCAGCCTGAGCAAGGTTTGATTGTTATCGAAATTAAACGTTGTTTTTTTTTATTACTAAAAGTTATTTTCACGACCCCCCCCCCCAGATCTATTTGTATATGATATATTGTGTTTGGCTTAAAGCTTATCTGCCGTAGTTTACAGGAGGGATTAGACAGCCCTGCAAGGTCACTGGACAGGTGGTTATCTCATCAACTCAGCTCTCAGTTAACATAAGAAAAAGAGGATCATGGGGGACCAATGGTCACCGATTAGGCATTGTTTGTTATATAGAGGGCGCAAATAGCTACAAGTAGTGCAGTGGGCCTTTAAAACAAGTAAATGATAATTTATCTGAATCGCCGTGTTACTGAGACGAAAAGCCATAAATACTGTAAAGATAATTTGAGATGAAAACCTGATTAAACAAACGATCAAAATATCATACAAATTTAGAGAGGTCATTCAAGTTGAATGCATTGTATTTGTTTGCGAATTCTGTAGAATTTTAGTAATCTCTTACGTGGCAATCTATTATCGATTATGTATAACAATGCCAAGTGATAAATCATAAAATTATAGAAAAGTGGTTCTGAAAATGTAGATGTAAAGCAACATATAAGGCTTCAAACCTATCGACCATTATTGGAAACGTGGAATAAATGAGAAATAGAGTGGGATCTCATTATTCTCACCAAGTTCGCAGAAGGTGCCGGCCCACCCAGGTTGGCAGAAACAATCGAAAGCAAAGTTAGGCCTGTCGATACATATTCCTCCATTCTGACACGGTGAGCTCGCACATTCGTCGAGATCTAGAAGGGATAAGAGAAAAACGTTTTCACTTTTTTTTTATGTGATGAAATCAGGGTTTATCTTTGTAGGTTATGACATATTTAATGTTCAAACACGATCCACGAGAACACAGTATAAAAACAGAAATCGGTGCTTAGTATTGTATGTACAATGAAACATCTTCATCACTACTTATCCGTCAAAAAGAATTACTCAAGAGTACTGGCTGCTTCCAAGTACAATATTGTATTGGGAAGCAACCCATTTTCCTCCTCAAAATGTTGACATTAAAATCGATAAAGAATAAAGGCATTCATTATTCGATCACCTAGCCGGCATCGAAAATACCCCATTTCTTTTTGTGTGTGTTACCTACAAAGTAGGATTCTAGTAAACACGAAAGGAAAACATATATCAACAAGCTAGGAGACAATACATTTCTTGAAACTGTTACAAAGTGTAACGAATTATAACCTAAAATGAAAATCTCCATTTAAAGATGAAGTTGAGTTCTGGTCATGCGATTGCATTGTGAAAGAAACGGTGTGGAACAGACCACAAAAGGTTGATCATCTAGCATATAAGAATTTTTGTGTATTGCAAGGTTCTGGAATCATCAAAATGATAAGAAATTTGGCCAAGTCTTGGTAAAGTTACAAACACTTGCACAAAAAGATGTATATGGGACTACACGAACGCGTGGCGTAAAAAGCCGGCCCCCCGATTTTTACGATGTTACATGCATATTTAGAATATGAAGGCATTTGAAGAGCCATGCTTTTCAGGGACCATGTCTTAACTGATGTTCTTCCACACTTGCATAATAAGAATAAGTAATGCTCACAAATTATTTTTCACCTCTACCCAGAACTTTAACTATATGTAAATGAATGTGTCGACTTACCGACTTCACAAATGTCTCCAGCCCATCCTGGCATACAGTTACATGTAAACATGTTGATACCATCTACGCATGCGCCACCATTTAGACAAGGATCACTCTGACATTCATTGATTTCTGTAAGGAATCAAGAAAAGTATTAAATATCAGTCATAGTCGTGTGGATAAACCGAATTGAAAAAAGATGATACAGAACATACAATGAATGGGAGAGGTATTGGTAGAGAGAGAGAGAGAGAAAGAGAGATAGATAGAGAGACATAACAACACAAGGAAAAGAAGAGGAGAGAGCAGTTAAGAAGAAGAAGAAGAAGAAGAAAAAGAAGAAGAAGAAGAGTGGTTAGACATACTGAAAACGGCCACGAGACAGAGATATTAGGGGGGGGGGTAAATATAAAGTAAAACAGATACATAATATTAGAAAATAGAGAGAGAATTGACAGATTTAGAAGACAGAAATATTACATATTGAAATATAATTTTATGGTGAGTTAAAAGTGCCTCACGATCAATTTTCCATCAATTATGATAACGGTTCCTTTTTTGGAAAATAAGCCTCTTTATGCATGAAACTTTTCTAAATTCGATATCTAATGAAAAAAACGAGGCTGTAACTCTGTTTACTCATTCTTTTATTTTTTTGTTGATGAATAATTTTGTTGTTGTTGAATTTTTTTTTATAACAAGCACGTATTCACATGTTTAAATGAAATCTAATTATATATGTTCCCTCATACCTTGTTCGCAGTTAGTGCCGATGTATCCCGCGCTACAGGCACAGAGATAACCTAGGTGTTGGTCCAGGCAAGATCCACCATGTTGGCAAGGACTCGACGCGCACTCATCGACCGCTAAAAGATCATGAATAGAAAATAGCTATCAGTCAGTCACCTTTACCACATCATTCACTCCTTAGTTTTTCATATATGATACTATCAAAATATATGATGAAATCTCGGTAACGATTAACAAAGAGCTCAGCATGATTTCGGGTCCATATTTGGGGGAAGCTTTCAAAGAAAACGTTATGACTTTTCCTATTTTCGTAGAAATCATCAGAGTATTAGATATCAGAGATACTATTTTTAATGGTGAAAGACTGTAGTTATAAAAAAAATCACAAAAGAAACATTTGGTAGCATAGGGCCATGTCCTCATTTTCGAATTTATAATACAACGATCGAAAGGAAAAGCAAAGTTATGTTTTGTTCGTAGTTAGGATGAAAGCACTTTCAAATATATGTCAAATTTGATGTGGATCTGAAAAGCTGATCGTACAGAATGATTTGATAAAGATGAAAAACACTTTATAGAGATTCTACATAAACAAATTTAGACTTACATATCTCGCATCTTGTTCCAGTCCAACCAGGCAGGCAGATGCACTGGAATGCATTGGTGAGATCCTGACACACTCCATTATTTAAGCACGTATTTGGCTGGCAGTCAGGTGTATCTGAAATAAAGGATCACAGAGCCATAGTAAAGCATTGATGCACACAACATATCTATACAACTATTCGGCTCGTATTCTACTAAGAGCTGAAGCTGAAGCTGGGCTTAAGCTTTTGTTAAAAATCTGGTTCAACAAAGTAGTTAGTCTGATCTTTTAGTATTTTCTCATTTAAAAATTATCTTATTAGACCAAGGTTTGAATTAGGAGAAATATGGATCTATATCTTCACCTTGATTTTAAGGATAGTTTTAATGCTAGAATTATCAAGGCTCTAAATAACTTGAATCCTGCTGGAGCGGTGACAACCATAATCTAACCGAAAGCCCCATACTAAAAAAGACATCACATGGGCTTCCAATATTTGATTAAGACGTAAGCTAATTTAAATAGTAAAGAGGGGTCCAGGAACATGTTCACCCCCATTGGTAAAACACTTTTCACTGACATGTTTCACTGATTCTGAAAATATACACTCCGCTGTATAAACAACGTATTTGGCAAGTATGCAGTTGCATCTGAAATAGAGTACCACACAACCTAGAAGGCGAGGTGGCTAAGTGGAAGAGTAGAGGTCCCATAATCGGGATGTCCCGGGTTCAAAACCTATTCGATACACTAGTGCCATTTGGTTGGGCACTATACTCATTAACAAGTCCCTCAGAGAGGACGTAGTTACGTAAAATACAACCCACCGACCAATCTCTCGCCATGTATCAATACATCTTATCTATCAGAATTGTACATAGGATATAATTATTGCTGACTTACCACTTTCGCACCTATCTCCTTGATACCCGACGGGGCACGTACATCTGAAACTATTCACTTCATCTGTGCAGATGCCTCCATTGAAGCAGGGGTTTGAAGCGCATTCGTTGATATCTACAGAATTAGAAGGAAAGAACATTCAAAATAATGTCAATGATGCTGTCAATCAGTGGATAACGTCAGACAAATCATGGTCTTCGTTTGACAACTTGGTAAATTTCTTGGATTGTTGGATTTTAAAACACAAAACCTGTTTTGGCATTCTCCAGAGAATATTCAACGTTCTCCCGATCAAAACATAGCACTGCGGTATCATGGATACTGTCATTAAATTTTAAAAAGTTGTAATTTAGGATCCCTAGGAAAAAATCTTTATGCTGAAATTCACTTCAAACAAAGAAAAGCTCAAACTCAATGGACAGTATGAAGACTTCGAGTAACTTTGTAGACGTGATTTCCTTGCGACTTTAAATCGTAATTTGTTACTTTTTTAAAACACATAATTTACCCGTTCCGCAGTTTGTTCCTTCGAATCCGGGCTGACAGTTACACGTGTAGAAGTTGACCCCATCGATACAGGTTCCGAGGTTGAAACAAGGATTGGAGGCACACTCGTTGATATCTACATTGTTGAAGACATAAAATATTCCGAAGTGACCATATTTTAAAAATTTGACACCAAAATATAAAGTACCTATAATATTTCATGTGTGCTTCAGTCTCGTAAAGGATATTAAAGTATAAAGTTTATTAAAGTATTAATTTCTTACACAGTTGTCTCTGTTCTTGAGGAAAAATTCAGGCGAGCTTTGTTTTGTCTAAGATGTATAATTTAAGGCGTATGTTACGACATATCTATGTTTGGATATAGGGCGAGGTATAGTGTCGAAGTTCGACTAATTATAAATTTTCCACGGGTCAACAATCATTTTGGTGCCCAAAGTCTGGACATTCACCTTCAACATGAATATTTTCTTCCCTTATGCATACTTTTTAATTCTAAATCACTGCCATTAGTCTATGTTTATGGTTTTCATCATTCCCATAGTTTTATGGTGCTTAATGAAGTTTACAACCCAATGAGTGAACGATTAAAGTGTTTTTATCACTTATGGATTAGAAGAAGTAAAGACAAAAATCTCTTACCGACTTCACAGTTCACTCCTGTGTATCCTGGTCGACACATACACGTGTACGTATTCTGACCATTGATACAAGTTCCTCCATTTTGACATGGATTGGCGCCACCATTTAGCAAACATTCGTTGATATCTGTACATGCGAAACAAATGAGAGATAAACAAGATATGTTACCAGTGGACGTATAATACAACAACGGATTAATGCAAGGAACGTAGAGGGGACGATTCATTGTCATAGAATCCGAGATATTTATGAAAGCAAACTGCACGTTATTCAGAGAAAACCAGAGAACAGCTTAACTTTCATCCAGGTAGCTTTTAAGTGTATCTAGACGTTTTATGAGATTGTAGCGTGATAGCATGAAAGAGTGGGTCACAAGTTTATGCTAACCCCTCCTCATCGTGAATTGGGTTTTGGGTTTGGGATAATATTGAGACTTCGTTTAACAACAAAAAACAGATTTTTTTGTTTTGACTGCAGGGGATTCATTATTAAATTTTCTTTGATAATATTTGATATTTATATAGCGCATATATCGACCATGCATGGAGCTCAAGGTTTTCCAACTATCACCCCGGCTCTGCTAGGTAGCTGATTTCGGCGCTCACAGCATTCAAGAAATTCCTTCCTACCGGTAGCCATTTAACACCTGGGTGGAGAGTGGCAAATGTAGATTAATATCTTGCCAAAGAACATTAGTGCCGTGATGGGACTCGAACCACGGACCCTGTGATCCACAGTCCAACGACTTATCCACTAGACCACAACACCTCTACAAATATTTTAATATAAATAAATATAAATAAATTTATAAATGATATCCAAAAGATTGAGACATTAATCTAGAGAGATTTAAATTCGATATCCTCATACCAATGTCACAGTTGATGCCAGTCCATCCTGGGGTACACACACATGAGTAACTATTGACTTCATCTAAACAGAGTCCATTGACACACGGGTCTGATGCACACTCGTTGATTTCTGCGATAAATGGTGACAAAAAGAAGACGAAAATGAAGCAGGTATTTTCCCACTGATGGTACTTTGAAAAATCTTTACTTAAAAGTGAGTCAAAAAGCCTGTTCCCTTTGTGAAGAAAAACTAGAATGTTATCAAGGAAATTTATTTCTTTACTTTAATCAGCTTTTCAACTTTTCAATTCAATTCAAGTCATTTATTTGTTCAACCATCAAAAAATATATACAATCAAAATAAGTTACATCAAGAATTTAGAAGAACACAATGTTGGTTTGGTAACTCCGGAGAAAGCAGGGCTTATAAAAAGGGGCCACCAAATTTAAATACATAAAAGATCAACAATACTAATACAAAAAAAAATCACCATCGAACATTAATATATAAACAACATTTTCTTAATCATGGGTAAGATGATAAGTGACGAATGTCTAAATCTTAAAAACACATGGCGATGTCAAAAAATTCCCGACATTTTGCATTTGAGTGTTGATATCAAAAGTAGAGAACACGACTTAAATAGTCAGGGCAGTATATTACAAACTACATTAAGGCGAGGATACGGATAACTCTCTACTCCTTTTTAATACAAAATGTCTTTAAATCATTTTTGTTGTTACCAGCTCTTCAATGAAAAATCAACTGAAAAGAGAATTGTCAATTTCCGCATTAGATGTTTGCCGGCTTAAGGGCTGACGAATACATCACATTTCCGCGTAAATTCATCCTTAAGGTAACATCATTGAGTAGCTACTTACCAGTACTGCAGATAGAATCTGTATACCCGGGTGGGCATGTGCAGACAAAATTGTTGATGCTATCAGTACATGTACCACTATTGAGACAAGGATTACTAGAACACTCGTCAATATCTGGAGAAAAAAATATCAAGAGAAATATATTAAAACCATAAGCTAAATATATTAGTGTAAGATCATATAATAAAACACACTGATACTTTAAACATGAAATAATGGATTATTTTATCACAACTGAAATAACTGTGACTCCTGTAGGAAATAATGTTTTGAATTACTTTCTTTGAAAAATTACTTCCTCAGTCATACTTCTATTATAACCACAAAACGTATTAACAACATTTCTCAGTATACCTAGACAAATACATTAACTCCGAATATATAGTGGATGTATAACGAGGCAAAACATGAGAACAATATTTGCATATAGATAGAATATGCACTTCCGATTTGTATTGCTTTAAACCTAAAAAGTGAGTATGATTTATGACAATAAACCATTTGACCTCAACGATTAAGAGATGCAGCAGTCAAACCATTGTTACGTCAGAGAAACAATTTATCTAATGTATCGGTCTTACTCTCTTCGCAGTGAACGCCTTGGTAGCCGGGCAGACAGGAGCAAATATACCGGTTGACATCATCAATACATCCACCACCATTCATACATGGCGTGCTTGCACATTCATCGATATCTGGGTTGTGGAGAACCAAAATGAAAATCACAATCTCGAATCAACATATAGACAATGCATTTATATAGTTATGAAAATTAAAACATTTCATTTCTAGTTTTCTTTTGTGTAGTCCATTCCCCTAATCCCTGCCCTATAGAGAAGAAATCGACGGTTGATACGATATGAAGCTTAACAAATTTGATAATTAAACATTTAAATGACTCCGGCCCCCCCCCCCCCAACAAAAAAAAGCCTGACCCAGAGCACTCCACTTTCAAATTTTGAGAAAGATGAAAATAGAGAAAGTGAAGGGGATAAAGAAGGGGATATAGGTATAATATATGAAGAGAGATAGATAGATAGAGAGAGAGAGATATATATATATATAGAGAGAGAGAGAGAGAGAGAGAGAGGGGGGGGGGTGAGAGGAAAGGGTTGCACGGAGACAGAGACAGAGACAGATAGTGACAGCCAGACAGACAGGAAGGCACACATCAATGGAAACGCATCCAGGGCTAGCTCTATTTTTCTAGATTTCAGACTTTGCTTGGAATTACACAGTTACTAGTTTGTAAAGTCCAAATGAAAGGACAATTTAAAGACGAAATATTAAGTTGACATATGTTTACTTACTCATCTCACAGTTTACGCCTGTAAACCCAGGAACACAAAAACAGGCATACGCGTTGGTACCCTCGAAACACTGAGCACCATTCAGGCATGGGCCAGAAGAACATTCGAGAGTTTCTGTCAAAGGGAAAGATATTTGCAAATATATATTATACGTTGCCATCCAGCGTCATATAGGGGGAAATATTTATGTTACGAAAAATGCACAATTTCGAAATGTACAGTATCTAATGTTTCTAACTCGTTTTCCCCTAATTACACTTGTCTAAAATGCGCCACATCTCTTTCCCCTGTCTTTTCTCTCGATCGATGCTACTGATTGTTTCCCCTGTATCACTTTCTCTCTTTTACATATAATTTATTTCCCTCCCTTCCTCCCTCTCTCTTTCTTGTATCTCCCCGATCTCTCTCTCTCTCTCTCTCTGTCCTCATACTTACACTAACTCTATCACTTTCTCATTCTCGCACTTTTCTCACTTCTCCTCCCTCTCTATCTCTCTTTCTTCCCGTTTCATGATGTGGACCTACTAATACTGTGCGATCTATTTTAGACGTGGACTTAATATATCTTGATTGGTGTAATAGAAAGCAGTTACCGTATTGACTGATATCATATCATATTGAATGATAAATAAATTAGGCACAGTCAAAATCAAAGATTCTAAGAAATAAGAGTATACAGTAATCAGTCTTACCGGTATCACAGTCGGTCCCTGTCCATCCTGGTGCGCATGTGCACGTGTACATGTTACGACCATTGTTACAAGTGCCACCATTTTGACACGGGGCGCTCAGGCATTCATTCAAGTCTGAAAACATAGTCAATGAAAATAAAGTTTAGTGAGAAACAAACAAATGACCGATAAGGGGCCAGGGCTCATATTCATTAAACAACTTACTAATCCTACTTGTCTACTATGTAACCTTTTAAATTATTTGACAAATAGCTTTAGTAATGTTTGATGAATATGGGCCTAGGAGAATAAGATTAATACAATCTGAAGGTATACATGCCAAATGTCCCCGAATGCGATCAACACATTTTTGGGGGACATGCTAGTAGTGTAGCACTAATGTTTGGTTCAAATTGTTTACCTTTTCCTCGTCATATTTTACCATGAGGGCACCTGTAAAGCAAACCTTTTGAGGGGACATTTCTTGTTTGATATTTTCTTCAAAAGTAGCATACAATAGACTGATAAACCTCAACAGCTATGCTAACCTTTATCATAATTCAGCCTTCTCTTGAATAACTAGAAAACATCTCTGTAGTCTAAAAGAAAAATATGTCCCTTTCTGCCTCATTTATCTGTTCATGTTGATTTTTAGATGATGATTAAAAGACTGACAAAATGATTTTTTTTCTGCAACAATTTTTCTCCCTCTATTTGGTTAGGTTTACCAATTAATTTCGCTAATAAACCTTTAATTACATATAATTGGGTTATGATCATTACCTTCTTCACACGTCGGTCCTGTCCATCCATTGATGCATGTACAAGTAAAGTCAAGGCGGGTTGACTGACATATTCCACCGTTGGAGCAGGGCAAAGTAAGGCACGGGTCAATGACTGGATACGAGTAGAAGGCAAACACAGGGACAAAGTCATATTTACATTCCATGCGAATTATATTTGAATACTGTCTGATGGGACTGCACATACTGTTGTTTTCGTTGTTGCAATGAAAATATAAATCATCAGGAATGGCATGTGCAACTCTTTCTGAAACAAGGAGTGTGTGCGTGTGTTTGTGTGTGTACGGAGGCGGATAAGGCATTGGTAGGGGTTGGTAGGACAGTTTCTCTGCCATTAAATTTCCAGATCATAATGTTTAGTAGGATAATGGTGAAATAATCTAAAATATACAATTAACATGCATTTAAATTCTGCTCCACCTTCCGTTGTTCTGAGGGTTTTAGTAAACATACCTTCTCCCCCTTCTCTAAAATACAGTTATTTGATGGTCATATTTAAGGTGTCTATATTGAATTTTAGATTTTAGCTATCACAATTAATGTTGGCTATATCTCTGAATGAAATATTAATCGATGAAAAAACCTCATGAATTCATTCAATGTACTCTTTGTAAATAAAAAGTAAAATTATTGAGACTAAGGAATGAAGAAGTATGACTTGACTTACTTTCTTCGCATCTGACACCCCTAAATCCTATGGGACAGAGGCAACTGAAGGAGTTATCACCATTCACACATGTACCACCATTCAAACAAGGATCGCTCGCACATTCGTTGATATCTGGAATAAAAAAAACAAATGATGCGAAAATAGACACATATTAATTTATAGGGATAATCATAACATGTAGTTATTTTTCAAAAGGAACAATCGTTCTGTGAATAGGGACTCTGGTTTTTCAATATCACCAATCTTCCCTTCAGTGATCTCGAGGCAGCAGGCAGTAATAGTGATTGTGTGAAGAATCACATGGCTCGAGAAAGTCTACAGGAGATTTTAAGATTTTAAGTTTGGTAGACGCCTAAACTACAGGTAATAATGAACAGCACTTACAACACGGACTACGAACAAATCAACCAGCACAACATGAGAATAAATAAGTAATTATTCTGTCAATTTATCCACCGTTTTCCTAGACAAGTGACTAATTGTCCAGTCATCGAAAGGAAAACTAATCATGCTTATCACCCGGTCACTCAACCGGGACCGACAAGATAAAGAAGAAGCAATTACATTACTCCAAATCGGTCGGTTAGGAAATCGTTGTGAAGTCGGTTCGGAGGTGTGATTGTGGGTTTACATTATTAATCGTAATATCAACCAAATTGGAATGTAACATGCATATAACAATCGCTCCGACAACAAAGTGATGGTACAAATAAAAAAAGAAGTGGAGGGGGAGAGTGTCATCTTGGCACGAAATAAGTAGCACCACGTAAGAGGGAAATACTTGATGATGATGATGATGATGATGGTGATGATGATAATGAGCATTACGAAGAAGATGATGATATGAGGAGGATGTCGAACATGTGTCTGAGTTTAAATGTAGACAGGTTAAGTGGAGTAAATTGCATGTTCTTTCTTTTTAATAATGCATAATGTACTAACCAACGCAGGTAAAGCTAAATTCCAAATCGATGCAGGCTTGCCCCGGGTTGCATGGGTCACCAATACACTCATCCCCGTCTGTAAACAAACAAACAAACAAACAAGTGAATAAACAAATGAAGATCACAACAAATAACATTTCTGTAAAAATAGTTTAGACATTATGCAATCCTTAAAATGGTTAAATGTTAATTATTGAAACAATTATACTAATTATGCTTAACATTCGTGGTATTCGAAACTAATCATATTTTATAGATTAATCTCTACATATTGCAAAACACAGACCTTAATAATAATAATAATAATAATAACGTTTTATTTACCCAGGGTAGCCACTTCAGTTATGAAACTGCTCTTCCAGCGGGCCCTGCATAACATAATTTGTTATTACTACCCTTCTCCAATCTAATATGCTGAACGCCTAGCTAGAAGGCAGAAGGTCCCATTGTTATAAGTATTTGGTATGACTCGGCCGGGATTTGAACCCATGACCTGCCGTTCATGAGGCGGGCGCTCTAACCATGCCCGGTGATACCTTTATGATGGCAAAAATAGCGAAATATACTAAAAATAACCTCTGAAAATTGATCTGATGATTAAAAGTAAATTTGGAAAGATGACGGGAAGGGGACTTTACCAAAGAGCCAGGAAAAACTAAAGCCACTCCTCTCAATATTCCTATCTGTGAAGAAGTTCACCCAGATGATGTCGGAGGTGAAATTGAGATCGGGCGGCGAGTCGATCCGGTCATTGCTGAATAGAACACTTAAAGAAGGGTCGATGTCGATGTTAATCAAAGGCCCTGGTGCGATCAGGAGCTCATCCTTGTTTGCCTCGATGTCCAAGTGCCCGTTGAAAGCGATTCGAACCTGGGCAGTTTGAAGAGTAAAGATGGTTTTAGATCTGAACCACGGTTTAAATCCGCACTATGGGCGGCCAGAAGGGGTAACCTTAAGATCAAGACTTGTTCTGACAATGATCAAAACAATGGTCTTAACCCTTTCCTGGCTGCCCTTTTTTTAACCAATAAATATATTAGTTTTAGCCCTTTTACTTAGATGTGCCCTGTCCTTTTTTTCACAGACACCTACATTGACCCCTGCACTGGATTTCAAGCCAGTACAACTTATATTTACTCTATTCATGAGTAGTCGATGGAAAGTATTCTAAGGAAGGGAATTTTGCTTGCTTGTATTTGCTTGCTTGTACCAATAACCGCGTGGCATAGGTGAAGTAGCAATAAGAATTGCCTTTTGTATTCCTAGAAGATAGTACCCTCTTCGATGCAATACATATTAGATGGTTGTCATTTGTAGGGCTATGACGTATTGTTTGGGGTTTTTTGTAAGGGGGAGGGGGAGGGGGGAGGGGGGGGGGGGGGGAAGGGGAGGGGGAGGTGGGGCACCTGTTTATTGAGCTCTGATCAATTGAGAAACCTTTAATATTTTGAGTACTCTATTCTTCAACTCAAGCTGCATTTATCACAAACAAATTTCGAAATACTGGAATGGGTTTGTTTAAACCAAGAAAGTACGATATCTGATTTGAAAATTTTCAAATATAGCGTGTATGATAAATTGCAAAGCTATATATATAATAAGAACAAACCATGCAGTACTTACCTTCTTCCCTCCAGGATAACCAATGAGATGATTGCATTCCGTGCTGGACAAGTACAAACCCGGATAATTTGGGGATGTCAATGTTCCTGATTTCGTATAAAAGTGCTGTGAGCATCCATCGCCATTCCCTGTTAATGAGAGCAAGCAAAACATACATGTGATTCATCTAATACTATTATAAATAAGGAGAAGAAGAAGAAGAAGAAGAAGAAGAGGAAGAGGAAGAAGAAGAAGAAGGAAGGAAGGAAGGAAGAAGAAGAAGAAAACGAAGAAAAAGATGGAGAAGTACTAACACTATTGTCATCATTATCATTATTATTACATGTATTAACGATGATAACACGCATTTCCATACGAATGTTCAAATGCGCTTTCTTTCGGAAAGTATTATCATTCAAGATATTTTACGCCGGTGAATTTCTTTGTAACTTAAGGGACACTGATTTATCGATTGTTTTAGATTGTGTAATAATGCCCCCCCCCCTCCTTTTTTTGTTGTTGCAGTCTTAGGCAGAATTATTATGTCATGGCATGAGCGAGAATATTCGAAATTATATCGTGTTCCCTCTGTAGTTCAAACGCTGGGAACCCCTCCCTCCTTCCCTCCCTCCCAGAGGAGACGCCCCTGTGTGTATTCTTACCTAATCTTTCCTGGCAAAATTCACCATGGAACACATCGTTAGGCCCGTATGTACACTGGCAGAATGCTGATCCGTCGTCATTCTCAACGCAGAGGGCTCCATTCAAGCAAGGATTCGGGCTACACCCTGCATTGAAAGAAAACGGAAGAAAACAATTAATTGACGTCATTCAAAAGTATTTGGAAAAGAAAATGTCGATATTACAAAGGAGAGATGTGCTACACAACCTCATATAGTTAAAGATAACATCAAAAACGGGCAAATATTTTAGACATTCAATCAAACTTTGCCCTTTCGGAAATACCACCAGAACTCGCTAATTAACATTTTATGTAATTCGCCAGCGCATCATTGCATTATTCTATTTTCGCGCTACCAGGGTTCATTCCACAAGCTCGCTTTGCTCACATTGAAAGAGCACCCGTGTGTTAATCCTGGGAGCTAATATTGGTTATCCTTGAGTAAAGCCTGCCGATGAGACTTTCATTGTAGGGTATACAATGCAAAGATCAGGGGTGAAAGGGAGTAGCTTTACAAATCTAAAAACAAATCCGTGTGCTAAGATGTAACAACAAATTGTATTCGTGTGATGCTGCGTGTGGTGTTTTATGCATGGTTTATTAACAGCGATGTTCAATTTCTACTCAGATGGAGACATGTTCATACAAAAAGAAATGAGTAATACACATTTCATTATGGTGACTAGTTGTTCTGTACAAAGACAGAAATGGCAGTTTAAGACAAACAGACTGTAACTGATAACTACTACACGTCGTTGAAATGACACTAAAATCGTCTCTGAATTATACATTTTTGTTAATTATTTGTTATCAAGCTTATGTCTCATTTGCATTTTTTCAAGTTTCGGTACTCAACGGTTTGTAATGAAGACTTTGAATTTGTAATTTTCTCTTTTACGTATGCAAAATATTTGACGTAAAATACATCCTAAAAATGAACCAGTTTCGTCATGTCACTCTTTCATTGTTGCATTAAGTCACTGGTTCATATTTTTGATTTTTACTACAAATGGTTTTAGATAAGTCCATAGCGCCTGGAACCCGTGGCAGATTATTATTTTTTTTAAATGAGGGGGGGGGGGTTGCGTCTTGTACCAACCCTAATTATACCTTAATCAATGTGTTATATCTCTCCGTCAGGGATTTGTAAGAAAGAAAGAAATTTCATTAAAAATAATTGAGATTACTATTATTATTATCTTCCATTTTTGAAACATTAGCTCATGGTACTCCTGCACCTTCACGATCTTGTGTTGCCAGTCGTTGTATTCTTGAAACGTTTACAATACATGCATACTTTTAAAAAAGAACCTTAACTGAAGAAATATACTTGTACATGCTTTTTTTAAATTTGTAAATCGCATAGGAAAACTTCTGTTTATTATGCGCTCAATAAATCTATCTTTATTATTATTATTATTATAGATTAAAGAAGAAATTCTCTCAATCACCCTTCTCAACAGCACGCCAAAGGAGGATTTAAAACAAATGTAGAACCATACTTATCAGTAGTCTTTCAAAATTGCTTTCATTACTTATGTTACTTAACCTGTATTAGGCATGGTCGTGGTTTTGTAATGGCTTGAAACGAACTCATGAATATTCATGAATCATTCGAACGAGCAGTATCCGCCATATGCAGCGAAGCATGGATTCAGTATCTAAATCGCCTAAGACGGCGAAACGTATTAAAGCTTATCTGCCATAGTTTACAGGAGGGATTAGAGTGCCCTGCAAGGTCACTGGACAGGTGGTTATCTCATCAACTCAGCTCTCAGTTAACATAAGAAAAAAAGGATCATGGGGGACCAATGGTCACCGATTAGGCATAGTTTGTTATATAGAGGGCGCAAGTAGCTACAAGTAGTGCATTGGGCCTTTAAATGTGATGTAAAATCGTTTATGTTATAGAAATGGTCCTCGGGTCAAGATGGCCGTGATTGTTATTAAAGCCCAATGTTTTACTGGGATAGAGCAGGGTTATTTACAAGGGTTGGTGCACAACTCTTGAGCAAATCATTAAATGGATCGTTTAACAATGTTAAATCTGAGATACACGGCCCTACGTGATATCAGTGTCTGTGATATGGTGTAATATTGAAGGCCAAAAAAATCGCGCTTCAAAATGATCAAGAAGTGCCTCAAAAAAGTAAAAATCTTTGAGTGACCGGTTTTACTATACTCGTTTTCCACAATAGACTGTAGTGTTATGAAAACCGTCAGGCGAACGGTTTTCAAAATTTGTAATTCCAATCATAAATATCTTGATAATCAGACAGGCAATCGGCTTGTAAAAGTCATGGGGTTCCTGACTAACCTAAAGGTTTATAATTATCATTGCATCATGAGCTAAATCCAGAATTTGTTTCAGAATCTGACACAAAGTTACCGGATCCCTTTAACAACAACAAAAACCAACAAACGAATAACATCAGCAAAAACAATAAATGACGACGTCAACAATAACGCATGTTTAAATCCCTCGACTACAAATCAAATTCATGTACGTTTATTTCGATAAATTGAATTCGTTGATTCTGAAAAAAAAATGTTAAGTTCATTGTTGCCAGACGTACCCTTTTGACAAATTTTTAACCATTGAAATGTTTACTTTGTCCCCCTGTTCGCCATTATGTGAAGTTGGAATTGTAACTGCCATGTCTCTAGGTTCAAATGAATAACACACACGCCATTATTCAGTTTTCTTTGCTAAAGAAAACTGAATAATGGCGTGTGTGTTATTCATTTGAACCTAGAGACATGGCAGTTACAATTCCAACTTCACATAATGGCGAACAGAACATATGATCATGTTTCTAATAGGAGAAGGGGGAGGGGGGGTAAATATATTTGTTTTCTTTATTGCAAATGGGCCTATTCCATTAAACGTCACAATCAACCTGATCAAAATATTCCAAAAGATACTTGATATTCATTTAATCATAATTGTACATTTATGACTCAGGGTAAACGACAATCATTAGCTATATCCAGTACTTGACAAATAATGAATGAGCATAAGTTAAGCAATACCAAACTTGTTAGTTTGAATGGTTGATTATCCACATACGAACAGGTGTATAGTGTAAAATTCAGTGTAAACAATTATAGAATTATTTCAACAGATTCATCAAATCCCCCCTCCCCCCTGAAAGGAACTGTACCTTGGACTAATTACACAAGGTGCATCAACAACTGAGGGTCGAAATCTGTTAAATCTTATCAGTCATGTTGAGATTTTGTCAAACTGTACATGTACACTGTTTTCGACATCATGAATCACGATGATGAGAATACTAACTCATAATCGTTTATTGTTCCCAGACTCACCCTTTTGACAAGTTTTTCAACATTGAAATATTTACTTTGTCACCCTTCATTTTAATAAAGAAAACTAAATAATGGCGTGTGTGTTACTCATTGAAACCAAGAGACATGGCAGATACAATTCCAACTTCCCATAATGGCGAACAATAATGAGCACGAGTCAAGCAAAACCAAACTTGTTGATTGTTGAATTGTTGATTATGTACATACGAACAGGTGTGGAGTTCAAAATTCATTGTAAAAATGTGAAATGATTTCAAAAGATTCATCAACCCCCCCCCCCCCCGAAAGGTACCTGGGACTACCTAGACAAGGTACATCAACAATTGTGGGTCGAAATCTGTTAAATCTTATTAGTCATATTGAGATTTTTTTTCAAACTTTACACTCTTTTCGACATCACGATGAAGAGAATACTAGCTCATAATCGTTTACATTTACTAGGATTCTACTTTCAATCTGAATTGAACCAAGAGGAGCGACTTAAAATTACGCATATTTGCTAACTCGAACATTATTTGTTATTTAGTTGATATGTCCTCGCTTATTTCATGGATGATCAGTTACCCTATTATATGTAACATGTGTACCCGACAGTTTCACTGAACGAATCAATCATTCTCATTTGTAAGAATGCTTTGCCTTTTTCATCCATATTTTTCTTCCCCGAATAGATTTTCGTCATAAACTCCCTGACGACGGGGGTATATTGTGAAAACCGGAAAACTGGAACACATAACAACTTTATTGTTGTAATTGACATTTATTTTGAATGAGTGGATTCGTACGTCACATTTGATTTCATTTCGGTGGTGATGACCGAAAGCATAATAAACCACGTCTTATTCCGAGACCCAACCCTTCTGTTTGTAAGACACTATCATAAATATGAAGATATCATAATTTCCTGATATCATGATTGCTGATATTATGATTTCATTCTCACTGCGGTATTATAAATGATGTTATCATGATTATAGGAGCAGTGTCACTCTGTTAAGGTCGTAAATATGAACCAAACATGTCAAACATAACGAAACAAATGGAGAAGTATTAAGCTGAGGAATACATCACTTTACTTTAAAGCCCGTCTGCACTAATTTGACCAGGGGGGAGTAGACCTACCTGCAAGGTTACTGACAAGCGGTTATCACATCAAATCAGCTCTCAATTAACATAAGAAAAAGGAAATCGTGGGGGACCAACAGGCACCGATTAGGCATTGTTTGCTATATAGAGGGCGCAAGTAGATATAAGTAGTGCAGTTGGGATTTAAGTCCAAGACAGGACTCCTCTCTTTGTAGTTGCTAGTAGTTGCTTCACAATGTAGGTGAGGTAAAGCAGAGTTCTATTAGATGATGTTTTAGGTAAATAATAGTAATAATAATTTTGTCTCCACTGGGGAGTCTCATCAGCTTCACTGATGTTCCTCCTGAAGGCCCTGTAATTATGATTACCCAAGCGATTACCAGGTATCCATTTCCACCTGGGTGCAGAGTGGAAGATGTGGAGTAATGTCTTTCCAAAATCTTTAACGAATCTGTAACCCTTGGAGGGAGCCAAGTAAATGAAAGACTATACCTCGACACCTCCCCACCTCCAGGTTTGGAACTTTTTTCTTCTTTTTTTAAATACAGAAAAGCTAGCCATTGTTGATTTGTTTTATCACGGCAACACTTATTTCAAAATAAGAACACATAACTTCAGGGTGCACCATTTAAGCCGCAGCGGATGGGATTATGTTCCACCCCTCCGGAAAAAAGGGGCAATCTAATGACTTCTTTCCATGATCTTTGACTAATGACGGAATTGGACGTTATTCATGATTATTTCACCCCATATCATGTATGGAAAGGTGTTGTTATAAGTACAGTGTTGTACTTTCTGCAACGATACAGCAATAGCTACAAAATAGTTGTTGTTGTTGTTGTTGCCACTGCCGTTATTGTTGTTGTTGCTGGCGGTGGCGGTGGTGGTGGTAGTGGTGGTGTTTCCATTGTTGCTGTTGTTGTTACGTTCATTTTACAGGCGGATCTCATTTATTTCTGAATTTATACGCAAAGATCCCTTAATCTGTTAACCATTCAACCCCCCTCTCTCTTCTCTCTCTCTCTCTCTCTCTCTCTCTCTCTCTCTCTGTCTGTCTGTCTGTTCGTGGTTTCGTTTGGTTTGTGTTATTATTCTGGAGAATCTGATTAAAGCTTTATGAATGACGTGTAGCAATGCTACAATAAAATCTATCATAAAACAGCGATTGTACTGCGCATGTGCTTTTCTTTACACCATTTCAAAAAAAAATATACTGTTCTATCAGGTGCATCTTGTGTGATATCAGAAGTATGCATGCAACGACCAAATTACATAATTTATCATGCATTACAAGCCCATAGCGAGGCACGCATGAAACCAGCATAATAATGCTTATATATGACCCCCAAACCACTTACAATCGAACGTCGCATGTGTGGTTTCTATGGTAACGGGATGCTATCATGGTACCTGCCTCACCGCATCCTTTCAAACTCGGTACTCCCTGAGTAATAGGGCCATTGTTATTCACGTCGTGGGGTAGTGTTATTGGTGAATTATTGTTATTGATATGGGGAGTGGAACGGATGATACACGCAATGGATTGCTTCAGTGTTATTTATTCATTATTAGTAACTTTGATATAGATTAATAACAAAACAAGCACGCTACTTAATATGTCTCCGTCATGTTTCTAGCGATTAATATGTATTTCTTTTTAAAATCAAACTATGTATTTATCTTATATAGCAAAATGAGAAAACGATGATGAAACAAATGGTGTCGTGGAAAGTAATATACTTCGTTTCAGCAGTTTTTTTTTGCCTGGATCTTCATTATAAGCATCGTGAATTTCATTTTGCTACTGCTAATTATTAATTTTTAAATTTACCGTCAACATAGAGCAAGAAATTAAAGATAAACTTTAGTACTGGTAATGCGATTGCATTGTGAAAGAAAAGGTGTGGAAAGGATCAGAAACAGTTGATCATGTAGCATGTAAGTATTGGTGAGCACTGCAAGGTTCTGGAGTCATCAAAATCATAATAAATTTGACCGAGTCTTGGTAAAGTAACAAGCACTCACATAGAAAGCTATATATGGGACAACACACATGGTGTCGGGGCTAGTACTACCTTGATTTCCTTGTATTTCTATGCTCATTACTCAGCCAGTATACATTTTCTTCCAAAATTGTTTGGCACATATCATTTATTTGTAATCTTGAACATTCAGTGTAAGTTTCGTTTGATTCTGTGAGAATTATTATTTTTTTTTTACCAGTACTGGAGTTTATCTTTAATAGAGTTACATGTATATACACCATCCAACATGTTTATTGCTACCATTTTTAACACATTCACGCAAGTGAATTAAGTAATTACTAAACATTTTGGTTCCCTGCAGTGCGCTGTGTGAGGTTTCAGCCTAATGCGAACATATGGAATTATACAATGAGCTTATTTTAGATTTAAGATACCTATCTCCTGACTCTAAAAAATAATAAGCATATTCCGCGCGCCACACGCGCACAAAGGAATGAAAATTAACTGAAATTAATGTGTTCTGACAGGTGCAGTTAAAGCTAATTCCAGAAAATTCATGTTTTTATTCCCTTTTCACGAATTTAATTTGCCATAATCTTCCCATTCTCTCTTATCCGACACCGTGTATAATGTTTCTCTACTTCTTACATATTCATTATCTTTTTTAATGCGTATGCACATTGTGCCCTAGAATATCCTGGTTTTTGCGTTGTATTCGATATGATGTGTTGGAGCAAATAAAAAGTACTTGATTCTGGGGTAAAATATCGACTTGTTTTGAATCACCTTTAGTTTTATTATGATTTGATGTGTTACACGGGATAATAAAGGTTTTAATTCAATTTTAACCCCCCCCCCCTAACTAACAATAATCTATAAATATATCGGTAATAATGCAAATTGAATAAAACAATTGAAGAGTATTTCCCAAAATCATGGTGGAAAACGAACTGACTTATTAAGAGTAGAACAATTAGGAGCGAACCAAACCTAAAGTTAAGGCTCAAAGGGATAAAAAAAAAAAAAAACTCCTAAGGTATATCATGATCATAATCTTCATCTCTTTGTTGTGATTATTACATTGCCATTAGGACATCACCATCGTTTATATCGTAGTATTTTATATCTGAGTATTCATTATTGTATAGATGATCAATAGGTTTCTGTTTATTGTTATTCATTCATTTCTTAGGCTTAGTCGTTTGTAATATCATTGGAGTTGTATAACATTGATGGCATTGTAGGATCTATTGAAGGCATGTTATTATATGCAACGAACATCGAAATAAGGGCTTCAAATTGATTGTGACCAAATCAATAGTAGAAAAAACACATCTTTCCTACTGAATACAATTAAGGTTATTACTGTATAAACTAAGCAGATGAGTGATGTACATGTAGCTTGCGTCACAGTCAGGTTTTAAAAGCCGGATGAATCGTCAGTCAATATAATAAGTTACCCATTTGAATACCACATTATCTGAAAAACCTTGATAAATGAAATAAAACCATTGAATTATTCAAAGAGCCGACAAACTTATACACCATCCCATCATACTATAGCCAAATATTCCCGAATGGTATTTATATGATGCAACTACAAAACAATCGACATTCGATTGTTCCATGATCAAACTTGGGAATCAATAGTCATTTTGCCTTGACGTATTCATTTCTGACCCCGATATTGGTCTTAGATGGGCAGGTAATTAAACCGCAAGCGCAGCGTCTTTTCTCTCATCTATTTGCATATTGATTCAGACTGGTGCATTGCATTGTGATGATTATTTAAAACGTCGATGGTGATGAACAACGCCACCAATACGTTCGCTGTTATAATTTATGACTAATGCACTTGTACTCAACGGGTTTATGAATGGTAGCGATGGTGATGGTTTAAATGTAATTCTTAGAAATGAAGGGAAAAGTGTGTTTCTTATATATCATCACTGTAGAGAATTTCAAAACAAAAATGAAATGCAAATGTGTCTAAGATTCTGGGAAAGCATATGATTATACATAGCACCACACCCATTTGTATGTTTATAACATCTTTATATCCAACTAAAATCTAATAATACCAAAATAAACACACCCAATAATCAATATAATTAAAATGGTAACATCACTTTTTCGACCCCACATCCAAAGTATACTGTACTGAAAACATCGACAAAAATATGTACCAAAACATGAACACAATTCATGTAAGAATTGCACACATTACGTACATGTATATGAAGAGCGCGGTATTGATCTTAGCTAACCATTAGTAGTTAAAAGAATATTAGATTATCACTCAATATGAAGAATATTTCACTCTATCATATTCAGAACATTTCCTATCAGTTGGATCAATCAGTCAGTTAGAACATTCAACATCAATGATAACTAGAATCATTGTTAAAAATACGTTATGAAATGTGATGTAATGGAAAGCCATTGAAATAACAAGTATCCAACTTACCTTGTCCGAATACTATTCCACATGACACCATCCAAAGCAACACTCGTAAAGATAAATTGTTCCAACTACTCTCCATTGTAACTGTTCTGCTATTCTTGATATAGGAATGTTTTCAAAACCATCCGAACCGGCGTCAATGTCTCAAAACCCTCAGGAAAAGCGATCTCTATTCCGCTACGTGAATCTCCTTGATTACACCACCGGTTTCATCGACGAGCACTTTCACTTTCACCCAAATCGGTGATTGTAGATGGCGGCTATGTCGTAATCATTGCCGTCGTCGATGAGAACAGTGGAGAAAGTTAAGTTTAACCTCTTTCTGGTTGAAGTATTAACAAACGTTACACTGTTACGCACACAACGTATGATATATCTTGCAGTTATCCACCATTATGTAAGACGCTATTTGAAAGTTTAGTTCGTAGCTTGTCAGTGTGTTGTAGCGATGTACTGCACGTTTCGGTTTAGTCTGCAATAATAACGTCCTCGAAGCAATTGTTCACTGCGAGCCATTCAAGCTTACTGAAGCGATGGAAGCCCAACAAACCATCCCAAAGCTCGGTAGCAAATGGAAAGTAAAAGCTCCCTGGAAAAAAATAATATTCATGGCGTATTTTGATGTAAGATGTTTTCATTTCAAAGTGAACTCTTATTCTTTTGTTTTATATTATAGATTTTTTTTTTAATAGTTGTTTACGATATTGTCTTTGTCTTGGATTTCGACCACTTTCTCTTTGTTTCTGTTGCTTTCGTTTGGTCGTCATTATAACATTCGCCCTTTGTACAGGTGAATTTCTAATGTAGGTAAATGCTAAAATATATACGGCATCCACTTCTTTGCTTTCAATTTTTGTATCTGCATAATACTTATCCCGCCTTCTCCCCGAATTTATCTTTCTTCATGTTTTTCATTTTCCCTTCAAATTTACATATGTCTCTCCGATAATCATGATATTTAAATTTCCAACCCCCTTTAAAAGAAACAAAAACTAGCCCCCCCCCCTCTCTCTCTCTCTCTCTCTCTCTCTGTACAAGTCTCCCCAAGTCTCAGGAGCCTATGTCTGTATTTTTCTATCGATCTCCGTTTCCATATATGTCATCGCCCCCTCTCTCCCTCTCTCTGGTATTATCTTTTATATTTGTATGTATTTTTTAACGGTTATAAACTTCGCAAAATATTTGATTCCTTACACGATCTACGCCAATCCAAACTGATCAGTGCCCGCACCTCGTTGCATAAATAAAAAGAAATAGATTTCCTATTTTATTGATGTGCGCCGCTGATGAATTGGTTGAGCAAAGGACTCCACCCTTTACCCATGAAGCCTGGCGGTTCGATGGCGGTTCGGACGTAGTTCAGCGCACAATACCAAAGGACATACTTGCTTTATCCATTCATATTGTAATGAGCTCGGGGAGCGGATTGTTGTACACAATAGGAAAGAAGGGTGTGTTAAGTTGAGAACAAGAATGCTGGAAGTTCGAGCCGAAGAGGTAATTGTTATGCGTCGGATTAGTAGGGCTGAGATCATCATATAACAGCAAACACCAGCAGGCCTAAACGCAATACAGAATCGATACTTCGGGACAACTCGATCCAGTCTCCATAATCAGCATTAATTACATCATTGTTGTTTTCGTGTAAAAAGTAAAATAAGATAATGCTGATTTTATAAATCTTTGTTCGAATATGAGTTGGTCCTTTTCTTCGCCTACAAACTGATTCTAATTGGACCCAGGTCCGAAACAGGTCACTTCTTTCGGATCAGTGGTGAAGGTAAAGGTCGGTCCTCAGACGTAAATAATCATATCTGATTGATAAACGTCTGGACAAAAACCATTACAACACACACGCACACACACACTGTGTATTTTGTTACAGCAGGGAAACGCGATTATTTGTGAGACAGGAGCTGAACTTTATTATTTTCACTAATAATGGGGAAACATATCATTACATGTTCGCTCATTTTGTCTCGCACCAACAAAGCTTAAATATTTATTGTTTCCTACACCAGTGTCTTTTAATGAAATGGAGTGAGAATCCACTTTTTGAAGAGTCTTTTTATATATTTTTTCTTATCTTTTACTCATTGTAAGAGTTGAAATCCTAACTGAAAGTGATGTAATCCACTTTATTTTGAATAATCCGAACCAATACATTTTGATATTCCAATATTTCGAGTGGTTTCAACTCCAAAACGAAGTGCACCTTTATTAAGAACGATTTTTACCCTTCTGCGTGGAGTGCCAACATTTGTACTTAAAACACAAGTATAGACAGACTTTCTATTAAACATATTCACATGTATGGATGTTTCTTTCCTAGGGACATAGTGACTAGTTATTCCATTTACCTGTTATTAATGAATGCACTACAAAACTTGGAATCCGGTGGTCCGTTTCTCGAAACCGTCATAAGTCTAAGTTTGTAGAAATCCCATAGAAACGCGTGTTAATCTTATAACACGGGTTTCCTTCAATGGGTTGTCCAATTTAGAAGTTAGACTTATGACGGTTTCGAGAAACGGGCCCAGTCTGCATATATAACTTGTTACTATTTCGGGCAATCCACTGGTAGGCTTTCATGTTGTCAAGAACAACCTTTGTTTGAAAAATATGCATGAAATTTGAATATGTTAGTAAACCGGTCTATTGTATAATGCAAAACATATCGGCTTATATTATAACCGGGATATTGTATTGAATTGCAAAGGTTTATAGATAACAATTCAAGGTCAAATTCATTTTTTCTTTTTTCTTTTTTTTAAGGAAGGTTTTCTTAGCAAGGTATTATATATTCTTTAGCAATTTTCAGATTGATACAAAAGTGTGTTTGTCATAATGGCCAAATAAATAAATATAAAAACAAATAAAATGTACCAGCAATCTAAACAGAACGAGTACTGCGCGTCGGAGTGTTGTATAATCGAATAATAGATGGAAGGCCAGATTGATAATACCTGGTGGTAATTATACATATACTACAAAGTCTCAGTGGACATATTCTATGGCTATTTAAACTGCATCTTTTCTATTTCACGATCAAACACTTGGAATGAAGGGTACAATGCTAGTGATGTCATTCAGCGTAATTCATAGGACAGAATCGATACCCCCTCCTGACGTGAATGCTTACGAAAGAATACTGCGTACAGAATGATTTCAATGGATTCGAGCGCGCATGAAATTAGCAAGGTCAGTGTACCTTTTCATGTTTTGATTCAGATATATTCTGCATCTACTATCATTATTTGTTATCTCTGGCTTCTTTCTTGTTTATTATTATCACCAAATCTCTCTATATACTTGTGATTATGTATTCATAATAGCTTTTCATTTTAAAGAGTCTCAGTTTTCAATCTGATGAATACCCCTCCTCTCCTCCCGCTTCTCTGTTTATCTGTCTATTTACTTGCCTATCTCTCTCTCTCTCTCTCTCTCACTTGTACTTTCTCTATCTCTCAGCCTGTTTTTCGGTGAATAGGATTGAAATAAGAACTCATGACCCCATTTATCGCCTCGCCCCTTTCCCCGTAACCGTCTATACTAGTTCTATAAAGGGACACTATAAAGGGACACTACTCTATACCCCCTCCACCTTTTCTGCAGTGCGCGTTTCTTTAAGAGTACCGTAGTGTGACGTCATACTGGCCAATTTACCATGGTTTCTGGTTCCAAACAATTTTGTGCTAGACAATGGCGTGGGGATCACGCCAGTGATAGACACTGACTTTGCCCTGCTCCAGCCCATTGCCTAAATGATTTCGCGGTGAACCTCATGCGCAGGCTTTACTGTTTGGAACAAATAGCCTGAACAACGAGCGAATATGACGAAAATGCAAGTACCTCTTTGTTCTATTTGACCAAACCGAAATAAAAACATTTGAACAAGTCATGGTATCTTAAAATCCATAGAAATTTGTTTTATTTAAAGTAGATTTGTAGCTTTGAAACATTTACATCGTTTAGCATAATTTAGAAGACACTTTAAAATTAAGCTGTCTGTATATATTGAAATGATATTCAAGATTTGTAACGTACACCTTAGTATTTATAAAGAAGACTGATTAGAATGCACGTTTTTCAAAAACATATATTTAATATACATGAACGAAAGACTTCAAATTATTTTCACTTCATTTCTTACTTCAATTTTGCCAGTCAAATTATACACAAGGCATAGCCAACTTTGCAGAATATATTGAAAGACATGTCATATTTCAGTTTTAACAAAGACAAGATGAAATTGTTCAGCAACCTCTCAATCTAATTTTCGAATTAATCCAAATGATTCTATTTACCCACCAATAATTTTTTTAAAAGAAGAAAAATGAATTCATTAACAAATCAATTTTAGTTCCCATATTACGGTTTTAGGTTAGCCATCATTATTTGATGTGCAATAGAGTATGTATCATATTAAATTTTTTCACATTATTCAGTGAAAGTCCATTTTATTTACAAACGTGCAGATTCAATTAAGCGAAGTGATAAAAATGCAGTGATTTCTCATTTGAGAAAGAGAAAACAGAAAAAGAAGAATTCGAACTCATCATAAAAACGAGAGATGCACATAATTGCCATTTTTTCCAGTTTCGTCGCAAATCAATATCCTGACTAACTATCCCCATACCATACTACGCAAAAAATATGATGAAAGCTTTTTCATCATAGGACAACTTAGACATAATGAAGCTATACATGAATTAAAATGCTGATTAATCTGATGGAAGAAAACAAATTATGCCGCACGGCATTTTGCATGGTGGTACTCATTTAAAAGAATAATTCCGCAGATAGGATTTAACTCTAATATTCCAAGTAGTATCTTCATTCTTATCTGACACGATCTGTTGTAGTACTTGCCATAATGAAACTATCAAGGAAGTAAATTCAAATAAGAGGATTTTTATTAGGCTGTAGCAACAAGTACATCATTACATTATTATTACTACTGAATAAAGCATGGTGTTAATGCTTATATGAAAGTTCAAATTTCATCAAACAAATTAACAAATTGTACAATGTTTTAGGGGCATAAATCTACTTTCAGTTATGTATAAATGTTCTTATATCCTAATACACTTGCTTCTGAAATTAAGAATGTAAATGCGGTGTTATTTAAGTTCACGTTAAGCTTGTTATATATAAAATTAGACAAATAAGAAAGAAATATCATCAAAGTGTCGTTTAAGAGGCTACTCAGCACTTAAAACAAATGTGCAAATGACAAACCCACCTCCGTGCAGAATTTCTTTAACGTTGTGACTAAAAAATAGCACCCTATTTTACTCTGCCATCAAAAAAATAATCTCAAATACAATGTGAACACGGTATCAAAAACACAGTGTGAAGTATGAACAAACTCCCAAACATGGTGCAAGTAGAATAGCGTACTGTGAACACATTGTCACACAAAATTAACACACAACCAAACCTAATGTGACAACAAAGCGTCACACACGATATGTTCACAT